AAAAATAAGGCGTTAGCGTTGGCTTGAAAATGGCAATCGATGATGTTTTATATAAAAATCAAATGCCATCAACCCAAAACTCTAACGCCGTTAACTCTAAACGCTACGCTCCAAACCTCATATTTTGATTAGTAAAGATTGAATCTTGCGGTTTGTGTAAATTTGAGTTACTTTTAAGCGAAATCAACATAGCCTTCTTAATTTCCATGCTACAGGACGATAAGAAGAATAAGAAGTCTGCATTTCATACACCCCTCGTATATCGTTAGCATAACATGTAGACGAATCGTTAAAATAGAACCTTTTACGTAGAATCCGCGGGCTTATTTTTTATCTATCAAGACCATGTTTAGTTAATTTTTAAATAAGACGTCCTGTATATTTGATAAGAACTAAATAGACCATTTGAATGGATTAATCAACGCCGTTCAAAAATATACAGTAAAGAAAACAAAGAAAAAACATATAATCATATAATGACAGTCAAGGGGCAGCATTGTGTGCATGGCAAATATTTAGGAGGCTAATATAAAATGAATTTTTGGAAGCTTGTAAAAAGACAAATTAATTTCTAGATAAATACACATGAAGCGTCATATTTAAAAAAAAACTAAACAATGGTCGATACAAAACAAATAGAAATATTAAGAAAAAAACTAAGACACTGGATTCCACATAAAGTATAAAGCTAAGCATATACAGGAGCGGAGAGCAGAAGAGCGAAAACAGACACACAAGCTCCTTACTACAGCTCATACCAATTAATCTCGTGTGTTTCTTCTCCCCGTTTTGATTTCCGCTAGAGTATGTGCTTACCAGAAGAAATAATTCAACTTCTTGTCAGAAAACTGAGATACGCAGGGTAGAAAAAAATGCATTTTTAGTAACATCCTGTAGCAGGAAAACAAAGTAGGCCGCGAGAATTTTGTTTGGCACATTAAATTTTACAAAGAAGTAGTAAGGATCTTTATTAATAAAGCGAAAAATACCACATTTGCTACCAAAATGGGACACTCTGTATAGTCTGTATAGTATTAGCTTTTATTTCTTTTCGCTTTTAAAAAGGTTTAGCTTTATTTTTTGGCCTAAAAAAAGAAACTATTTTTTTTAGTCCAGTGTTTATACCACTGCTAATTATAGTCTGTTAAATATTGGACAAAGTAAATTGCTAACCTGTACAGGGTGTATCAATTTCATTCGTTCGTGCTTTAGGGAGTTTCTAGCTTATGAACGCAGATAGAGAAAAAGTTGAGATTTTCGCAATAGTTGGCTTGTTTTTTTTTTAATTAAAAATATGAACATATTTTTTTAAGATAAAAACATTTGCTTTGAAAAGAACGTTACACTGAATTATGTTTTTACATTTACAATAAGTTTTTATATCTGAATACAAGGGACGGTTAAAAGCATTTATCAAAATCACCCTGTAGCTCAAAAACTAAGAAGGTTATAACATGTAATTTAAAAAAAGTAAAAAAACTACGTCAAAGGCGTCTGGGGAATGACAATCGATGATAATTTTGGCGAGGTCAATCTCTAGACGTCATTTAGTAAAATTTTACATAAAACTTCAATATTAACTAACACTAATTATAGAAAGAATAAAAAAGGATAGAACGGTTCTAGACACACAAATCTATTTCCAAAAAATATTTTTTTTCCTGTAATTTTAAACTACGCCATTTAAAAATCGTTTTTACTCAATATAAAAATAAATTACAAGCTTCTTAAGGGCAACTGGCAGTAAGCGCCATTAAACAATAAAGAAGAGGACGGGCCAAGAAAATGAAGTCTAGGGCTTGAGTTCGCAAAAATTGTCATCGTCATTCCGACCGTAGAGTATTTTATAAAAAATTAGTAGCCACTGCGAAAACCGCTACTTCCTATCTCCTTAGGGAGAAACACTATAAAACATGCTATTTCCACATTTAGTTGCAATTAAGGGCGTTCTCGCTTATTAGTAAATAATACTAAATGTCGAACTCGTTACTTAAATGAACCCATTATTTTTTTCTTGAAAGCAAAGATACAGTACACAAAATTGTCATGGCCCTCTTAGTTTCCATGATACAATGTGTTGCAGTTTTACACTCACCTCATATTATATCAGTACTCTGAAAAAAAAAACAGATTTATACAGGGTGATTTTTAACTTATACACATAAACTTGGGAAATTATTGCTGATGTTAGAAAGAAATGTTGGTAAAATATTTTTAGATTCTGAAATAATTTGAGTTTGTTTTCACAAAAATTATTCAACTCAGTAAATGCACATTCAATTTAATGGAATTTACGTTTTTTGTTTTCATTTCAAATAGTTTGTTATCTCCTAAATAAAAATATTTTAGTACCTTTTTTTTTCACTTATTAGTCATTATTTGTCATCAGCAATAATTTCCCAACTTTATGCGTATAGGTTAAAAATCACCATGTATACTTAGAACATATTAGGTGGAACCAGAGGCATATAAGAAAAGTTTTTTCTTAATATTTTCATCACACACCCTGTATACTTGTCAAAAAAATAATCTTCCTCCTTCACAAGCTTTTAAAATATATGTAACAGTATATTTTAGTTAAAAGCTGCAGAATTAATTTTAAAATAATACAAATAAAAAGTTACATGGGACCATACCAAAACAATGCTGCTATTATTTTTTAACTGGCGAAACCAATTTTGATCTATTCAATTTTTAAATGAAAAATTTAAACAATTAAGAAGAATTTACCTCTAATTAAAAATTGTGACTTATAGTGGCTTGTGAGAAGATACATTAATTTTCTGACAAATATACGGGCTGTCCCATTAATAGAAACTAAACATTGGTCGATATTTAAAAAAAACAATTTCAATTATTTAAAGAAGATAAAAAAGAAGTTCCATAGCAATATGTTCTAAAATTTATTGATAAGTTGTCAGACTACTGAAATAGGAGATGTATCTGAAACTGTAACATTTTCAAAATCACCCTGTATCATAGAAACTAAAAGGGGACCGTAGCAATTTTATTTTTCATAAAAATCAAGTTTATAAAAATCGCAATGTCCTATCCTTACTAATGAGCGAGATGGACAGTCTGTACAACATTATTGATTGATAAACTTTTCCTAGCAAGCGCCAATACTTTCAATAAAGCACACAAAGTGGAAATGATAAAATGACCGAAAATTCCACTCATGAGGAAGTGATAAATACCATTCACATGAGTATACCAAACATTGCGTTATAATTTAGAGCATAGCAGTTAGTTTTTCCTTAATTACAATTTAAATAAACATTTTAACAATGGAAGTTTTTACAAGGTTTGTTGTTTATTTTCCATTTAAACTAATATAAAATTAAAAATTGCATAAATTAATTAATTGCTCATCGTATGAATTAAAATTATACAAAAAAAAATTGAAGTGAATAGTTGATAAATAAATAAAAAACATATTAAATAACAAAGTAAACTTCTAGTTAACTGAAAATTTAAATGGCTTTAATGTGTGCTCTAATATTACCGGCATATTTTGTAATAAAAAGATTGAAGTGAAAATCTCAAATAGAACACCTAGTTTATTTAACACTGAGCCACCCTGTAGTAATTTAAACGATTTTTTTTATTGAAATTTGAAAGCAATACTTTCTTAGAAAGTAATAAACAAATATATTAATTATTCTACAAATTTTAACTTTTAAGGTGTTTGAATGAGTAAGAATCGATTAGGCAACCAGTTATACTAAAATTTAAAGAAATTGAGATAACTATTTTCAGATGATTTTTCTATGTAAAATGAGCTTTATATAATTAATTTACGCTATTTTCTATTGGAGTACAGTGGTGGATTAATCATTACAAATTACAAATCTTAATCCCATCACTGACTAAATATTTAAAGATGCCAAAACTACAGTTTACAGCCTTAAAATTCGTTCAGATCATTGATAAGTGCTAATTAAATAAATTATTCCAGAAAAAGCTTGCCAGACGCATACAAAACAACAGTATCAGCTCATAAGAATGTTATTTAATGTAATTTATTTGTGTCGAGTAATTTGAAGTAGTAATTACTCAAGCATATTTTTTTTAATATATTCTACTTTCAAATATCTGGAATATATTTAATTTCTAAATATTCACAATGCCACAATTTTGTTATAAATAAAGTATATTATTATAAAATTAAGGGTGTTTTATTTAAATAGCAGAGAAAGACATTATAATATATTTAGTTACCAACATATAAAGTATTTTAGTACAATTTGTTTTGATCTTCTGTTAAATAAAATATTTTCAATTAAAAAAAATACGACTTTATAAATTTGTGAAAGCTTTAAAAATGTACAGAAAAAATCTAAAATAAAACTACCAATTTAAATACTACCAATATAAAGCAAAAATATATTAAAAACACCCTGTGTATATCTACGAACTGGCTACTATATACGGTCTGCTAAAATATGGTCTACTGTAACCTGTATGTTTTATAAAAAAAAATTCAGTGAAATCTCAAACTGAAGGCCTAACATGATTATTTTTGTAACATTGGGCCACTCTGTGGTAATATAACTTATTCTTTTTTACCTACTAAAAAAAAGAGTCTTATTTAGCTGATTAATTATTAGTCACGACAAAAAAATATTTAAAATGAAAAAAAGAAATGACTGTAAACGTAGTGCTCGGAATCTCTAAAACGCTTACAAAATATAGATGTATACAAAACATTTTTAAAACAAAAATACAGCAATAGATCACAATAATATATAGAAAACAGATAATAACATTTGTACAGAAATAGTACAATATTATCGAATAAAAAAGGCGTCGACGATGGCTATGAAATGGAGATCGCTGTCATTTTATATATAAAATTATATGGGAAATGTAATTGATGTTCATTTCCAAGCCAACTGAACGCCGTTTTCTTTTCGATCATACGGTATATTGTTTTATTAGGAGTAAAAATGATACTTTTTGCGGCGAGACACTAAAAGTAATTTTTACTCCGAACAGAACATGTTCTTTTTTCAAACGTCAAATATAATGTGTTAAATAATTTCAAACGTTGCAAAAAATATAATGTCATCAATATGTTGTCATCATGTCATAAAAATTAATAGTTTTGTAACGTTTGAAAAAAAAAAAAGATATTGTATTGAAACACTTTAATGATATCTCTTTGATAATAATAGGGATCTTCAAATTTATTTTGCTTAATAAATGTTATAAAGTAATATTTATTTTCAACAAAAAATATTTAGAAATATTTCCTATTACAGATAGCAAAGGTAAGCTATAGATCACTATTATTAACAAAATATTAAAAACAATATTTATAAAATTCTAATACACCAAATAACATACAAAATTGGTATTAAAATATATATTTTTGACATTTAAGTGGAATGAAATGTCAAAAGATTTTAAATGTTGAAGGACCAACTGAAAAAAGATATGCCACATAATATAAAACTAGAATTATTATTTTTGTGTAAAAATGTGTTTTATCTTAAAATTATATATTTAACAAATATGTATATATAAATGTGAATTTTTATATTATGACTTATGATATTTCAACTGATCCTACAATAAATATATTATATACCCTAGCAGACCATTTTCATATGTAAAATTCATAAATTTTAGGAGATAAAGTTTGAGTAGAGGTCTAATAGATATGTTAAAAAAATATGACAAGATAGAGACATTTTAAATACTAAAATTGAGAGAAAAAATTACTACTGGAAATAAGATTTTTTTTTAAATAATAAGAACATTACCACATACATAAGATTACATAAGAATCGATTAGACAACCAGTAATACTAAAGGTTAAAATTCATTAAAAAAACAAATTTAGTATAAATATACTTGAATCGCACAGTATATCTATGAAAAATAATTTTAAAATGTATGCTCAAAATATATTTGTTAAAGAAATTGAAATGAAAATATTAAAAAGAAAAATATTTTTTATGAAAATATTAATAAAAAAAAAGCTTTTGCTCTTGTAAAGACGTTCTGAGAACATACTGTATATAAAGAAAATTGTGCACATAAAAAAGAAAACAATGCGTGAAGTGCATTGCTCTCTGTGTTAAAGAAACAAACTTTATCGCTAAAATTTAAATACAAAATAGATATAAACATATTTTAAAATCATATAAATTGATTAAAAACATCTGCGTTAGGGTACCAAAAATAATTCTCAAAAGCAAAAAAAACTATATGAACACAAGTATCCAAAATTGATTTAATAAAAAAAATATTTCAAAAAAATAAACACTAATAAATCATTTCTACTGGCTTAACATTGGTATTCAATAATCACATTTAATGTTTATGAAAAAATATTAAATGACCATTAACTATTAAATTATCATCCGGTTGAAGATATAGTTAGTTAAATTCTATAAAATTTAGTTTTGCGTTAATACAATAAATGAAATATTAAAAAATATAAACTTTAAAACCAAAATAATACTTGTGTTCATAGGGCTATAGTGACGCAGATGCGCAAGTATAAAAATTATAATTTTGATAATCTGGAATAAACTTAGAGAAGTTTAGTTATATAATTAAGAAGTTAGTTATATAATTAAGTAAAAGATAAAATAAATTGGAAATGATACAAGCCTATAAAGATTGTTTTTTAAATATTTTAAAAATACCTTTAACGAAATCCAGAATACAATATAGTTTTATTTAATAACAATTTAATGATTGAACTAATGGAAGTAAATATAAGATAGGTGAGATTGAAAAAAAGCTTGAGATGAAAAAATTATAACAGATTAGCATCATGTTGCTCAACATATCCTCCATAAAGATGATTGCATTGATTTGAATGATTTAAAATTAATCAAACGTCCCTCAAACTAGAGGCAACACAAAGCATAAATATAAAGACAATATCAACAGAGATAATGGTCCTATTCATAAAATAAAGCGTATTGCTCTTAACTAGTGTTTTATATTGCAAAAGCTTAAGAAGAAAAAAGGTTTCTATCCAGATTATCAAAATTTTACAAAAAATTAACATTAAAATGACGCCTGATATAATTATATAGTAAGAAGATAAAAACCAATAAACAAATTTATTGAAACAATAACACTATTAATGAAGCTAACGAACCTTGGTGAGGCATTGAGGAGTACTGAGTCTGCTTTATGTTGAGAGAAAGAAGAAAGTGAGGAGTAGGAGCTACTGTTGATATCCATTGTTAAGAAAAATGCAGAGATATCTAAAAAATAAAATAAAAATAATATTAAAAAAAGAAATAAAACGAGCTATACCATTAACTCCTATAAGTTAATGTCTATAATGTAAAAATTAAAATAAATATATTTTTATTAATGCAATAACTATGTTTTTTAAATTAATAATTTGTATATACCCTATGAGAAAAAAAAAACAGCATTATAGTGGCTTTGGAAATAACAATTGATGACAATTATTTCTGCCAGGTAGACCACAATATACCTATCATTTATAAAAAATTGGTATAAAAATTTATAAAAATTAAAGAATGAAATGTTAAAAAAATTCCAAGCTCATATTTTTTTAAATTAAGGTTTTCACCTTTGAATAATAATTGGTATGTTTGAAACCTTTTTCCTTTTTTTCATTTAAATATTATTTTTGACAAGTTTTTATATCAATTTTTAATAAATGACATAGGAATAGGCGTTGACCTCGAGACCTTAAATATTATTGATGATAACTTACTATTGATAAAGGACTGCGACCACAGTAACAGCTATTAAGTACAGTCCTAAATGGTCTTCCTGAGTCTATTCCTGCAAGTTTCATTCCATTTAAAGCTTTTTAAAGCCTAACCACCATAATATTTGCAGATAGTACGGCTTGTGGATTTTCAACAGCAATTGCCCAAGCGTATACCTAAAATTCCAAAAAAATATTAAGTAAATTTTTATTATACTAATTTTGGAAGATTTCTGAAAACAAGATTAATAAAAACAAAACAAAAAAGATTAATCAAAATTATATTTATTAAAATATGTATATCTTTATTGCGTTTATTCTAGTGGGAACATTAATATATCGTCAAGGTGTGTGTGACGAGTCCTGTAATTTTAAACCAGTTTTGAATAGCGAATGTTGACAATTTGGCGAAGGACTTTTTAAAATAGTTAATTGTGTGTTGTAATCAGAATAAATTGTGTATATAGTGCGAAAATAAATCCGTTAAATATTTTATCGTGAGTTTAAATTAGTGGACCCACAGAATCCGTAACAATATGCAACCAGTAATACAGTTTCAGCATTTTATTTTGTCCTGCCTATTTTTAATAGTTGTTGGCTTTTCTAATATTGGAACAAAAGCGCTTGTATATATTTAAAAAAATTTCAAGCTGTCCAATGAAATATTATAAGATAGATAAATAACTTACTATTGGTGAAGAACTGGATCCGCTCTAACAGCTATTAAGTAACAGCAGTTCAAAATGGTTTTCCTTGATTTCTTCTGCACAAGAGTTTCTCTCTCTCATTTCATTTAAATCTCTTTTATGACCACCATACATATTATTTGCAGCTAGTATGTCTTATCGGTTTCTAATAGCCATTGTCCTATCGTATGCCTAAATAAAAAAAAATATTAGGTAATTTTTTATTATAGCAATTTTTGAAGCTATCAGAAAACAGACAATAACATAAAATATGTTAATATTTAAAACTACGTAACATAACAAACAAATAATAGACATTTTTTATATTAATTTGAATAAGTTATAAAGAGTTATATAAAATTTAAAAAAAAACTTTTATTGAGAACTTCAGAAATGATATAAAAAAGTCTAAAATTCCTTGATAAGAAAATAAAACATTATTATAATGAGTTAATAATAATCCAGAAAATAAATATCAAATTTGCTAGAAATATAGAAAAAGAAAAAATTAATATTTAGTAATAACTCGTAAATTTATTGCGTTATTTTGGTGATAACTTTTAATAATTTTCAAATAAATTTAAAGATATGCAACCAGTAAAACACTGTTAACATTGTATTTTTTTCCACTTTAACTGGCCATAACTTTTTATTTTTTTGGGCTCTAATCTCTAATATTAATTAAAAAAACAATTATACATATTAGTTTTCCAGTCAAGTTTTAATACGGTTTTATTATTATATTTTTTTTATTATTATAAAAAAATGCGTTTATCTTGCTAGAAACTTCAAAAAATTATTCGATTAAGTCGATTTAAAAACAATGCAATAATTTTATATTACATATTTAATGTATAATCCAAGTATAATCACTTGTATGCAACCAGTAATACAGTCTGTGTTTGATTTTATCCTCCTTTTTTTAACAGTCTGTTTTATCACAAAACAATACAAAACTAGGACCTGTTAATATTTGAACAAAAAAGCTTGAATATGACGGAAAATTTAATAAACTTTCAGCATTTTCAAGCTTTCTAATGAAATTTTATAAGAATAAGTTGATAGACGTAACTTACCATTGTTAAAAGGCAACAGGTGTTGAAGTCAATCCAGTAAATGGCATTTTTCTGTGTCCATTAAAGATTTTCCATTAAAACTGGAACTTGGACTGGAAACAGCTGTCAAAACGTCCATTAATACCAATTTGTTTTGCTTACTAAAAATACAAAAAATAAATAAGTAAATTTTTATAGTCTGTTCCTTCACACATTTTGGAATAAAAAAAATGTTTTTTTTAATATGTTAGGTAGATATTAAAAAAAAATAAACGCAATAGTAACTCTTTAAAATATTGTCAAATATTCATAGATTTTTACAAAAAGAAAACATACTAAATAAAATTAAAATTGTCTGATATAAATTTGTAAATATCTACAAAGATTGAAAAAAAAATATATTAATATATTTTCAATCTCAAACTTACTTTATTTCGAATTTGAAGCCTACAATTTTGTAGTTAAATACAAAAATTGTAGCCTTAAAAATAATAAAAAAATAAAAATAACTTACCATTTTCATAGCGCATTGGTAATGAAGGCCAGTCAATCTAAGTACTATTGATTGTATCTTGAAATTGTCATTTGTGGGTAAGATTTTCAGTATCAATTTATTCAAAAAATTCCTCCGGCATTCATCAAACTTATGTACAGTTCTAACTCATTTGCAGATTTGTAACAGCAACTGTCAACGCCCAGTACATCACTCGAACAAATATCTAAAAATAAACAAATATTAATAAGTATATTAATTTGTATCAATGTAGAAAATTAAAATAAATAAGAAAACATTGTAATATCAATATAGATAGGCAAAATACAAAATTAAGTTGATTTGAATAAAAAAATTCTCCTAATAAATTTAAAATTAAATGTTGCACCTAAAGTTATTGAAATATACACATTATATGTGTAAAATATGTCATACTTTCCAAGCTTTCCAAAACCTTTAATAGGAAAGAAAATAATGTGAAAAAAACTTACCATTTTTGAGAGATATCTGCGTTGTTGAAGTCAATTTAATGTCCTGTATCTACTGTAGAATAAATTGGTCATCTGTGAGCCTTTTCCCAGTTTAAATTATGTCAAAACTTCTTTGGTGTTTCTAATAATTCATCCAAGTTGTTATAACATCTGCTATTCTACATTTCCACCAATAGATATGCTTGTATAATACATAAATAAATGAAACTTGACGTCCAAGATACCAATAACATCTATAAAAAAATAAAAGTTGTGATAAGTATTTATTTTTTGTAAGTAGATGAAAAAATTACCTTAATACAGTTGCTCCAAATTTCATTCAAAAAACTTCCGTTACAGCGAACAAAATCCTCCACCTTTCCTCAAACATCTTCTATCTCCTTTCCTTCTATTTCAAAGCAATCCTCTTTCATCTTCTCTGTCCTGTTCTACTTTCCATGTCTCACCAATTCTTATTCAACTACTTATATAACTAACTTATACAAATTTCAGGCGTCTTACAAACATTTTTTAAAAAGGGGGAAAAGGGATAATGCTACAACAAACGACTACGCTAGCGCACCTACCTAAAAAAAAGAAAAACACTTTTTTAATCAAAGAAGATGATAAATATAAAGTTATATAAATTTACCTGATGGCATCTAGAAGATGGCCCTAATCCTGCTGTTGTCCCCCCAAAAAATTCATTCCAAAGCAGTTAAGTACTAAAAAGATTTATGGCAGGAACAAACTGAATTTAATTTTAGTAACAAAAATAAATTACTAATACTTTAATTCTCATTATAATGTAAAATTACATTATTTACTAATTTACGTTTAATTAAAAATCACTATTAAAAAAATTAAATAATATTATCAATTTTAAAATAAGACCAAAAATAGTTATTTCCAAATATAATAGAAAAACAATATGCTACCTAATTTTGTCTTTTTGGAGATATTTTTTTATTACCCATTTATTATTGCTAAAAAAACTTTATATTAAAGCCTTGTATAGAGTAAGAAAAAAAGTAAAAATGAAATGTAAAAATTGCAAATTAAAAAATAAGTACTTAATGCGACATTCTGTAAATGTAGGGAACCTAAAGTTACCGCTTTGGAACCACGACGCGAACCGACTTTTGAAATTCTCCAAGCCATACTGTATCACCTGTAAGAGAAAAAAAAAACATTAGAATATTTCTAACAAATACCTATGCTAGAAGAAACAAAAAACAAGGTATAGACAAAAAAAAAAACGATGTAAAAATATTAAAACTCACCATCATATCTTGCTTAAGTTCATTTTCAGTCCCACCATAATAATTATACGGCGAAAAAACAGTGGCGTCTCACTGCTATGGGGCACATCGAATGCCCCCAACTCCATGGACTTCGGTCGATCCTGTAGAGTTGACAATAAACACGTTTTCCAGGTATTCGACGGTACCTGAAACAATCCGAAATTTTTTGGGACTGATCATATGCAGCATGTAGATAGAATTTCTGACTTCTTAGTTTTTAAAAATCGCGCTGCGAACCCGGGTTGTCCTAAAAATATGAAATAAAAATTTACAAGTTAAATTAGAATTTAAACTTATATCTACTATAAGTTTTAAAAAAGTTGCTCTAATTACTATACAAGTTTTCTACTTAAATTGAAGCTCATGTATGTTGTAACAAAAAAACTAAAATATACACTTATAGAAAAAGAATTTTGACTGCTACATGGTGCAATAAAAAAGTTATTTGGTAGAAAATACAGTAAAAGTTTACAATTTAAAGAAAGTAATATAAAAAAATTAGACTTACTTTTAACAGGTTTAAGTTAGGCCTGGTTATGCTCGCCTCCTCCCGACATTTTCTGCCTTCAAAATTCGACGCGGGGCAGACCAAGAGAAAAAAAAATGTTTCCACGACCCGCCTGCGAGTGTGTGCTGGTTGCCTTCCTTATGCAGATTCGACCCATTGGTCGACGATTAAGCCTCACCAGTCAGTTCCCATCCCAATTAAGCCGCCTCGTCTGGGGTCACCCTCGTCACCCGTCGGACGGACATCCACCGGGACCCCCTACAGGCGGACCCCCCTCATCATCTTCAATGTGTCCGATATCCCGCCCCCTGCCTCTTCGAGGGTCACGGAATACGTGCACGAAGAAATCTCGGAGCTTGGGTGCCAAGTTGTATCCGGCCGAAGCCTCTAGCATTAGAACACCTAGCTCGTAAACCAGAGGGTGGTGACTCCCTTGGGTACCTCTGCATGCTACACAGGTCATCGATGCCCGAACATCAGGGTTAGGGGGTGACCCAAGAAGTCTCCTCTCTTGGGGAAGGCCGCGCCGCGCTCTGGAGTCATCTTAAGCCGGGGATCCACACCGACAAAAACACTGTTAACCAACTGCATCGGCTAACGAAATTCACTAATGTTGAATTAGGAAATTTTATTAACCAACACAGAGAGCTAGCAATGCTCGTGTGAGTGGGGAAGGAGTGTGTGGTGTTGTAGTATTAATATAACGCGCCTAAAAAAAGAAAAAAATATTGGAATACCTATAAAAATATTACGACAATATATAAATAGGTATATTTATTTTAAATATGAAAAAGGAGATGCTCCATTTATACCTCAGCAATATTTTATAAGATTTTTCCTTGATTATTATACCAAAAATGTCAAAAATATAAAGATGTTAGGTATATGACATAGAAAAAAGGGATATAAATTTGATGAATATGGTCAAAATCCAAAGAATTTTTCCATGATGTACCTAACACATAAAAAAATAAAAATACACAAGGAGTGTTTAGAGTTGTAACATATATTATTTAGAGCTAAAAGTTAAACCTACAGTGTTTCAAATAAATAAAAAATATTAAAGTTATATTTTTTTTAACATTGAGACATCCTATATATATTATTGCATTTTTAGTTTCTACTATGAAGACACAAAAACATTCTATCAAAATTTACCTCAAAATCATACTGACTGTTTTTGAAATATTTTAATTTTTATAAAAATTCAGTAACAATTGATTTATTTCTTCAATGCAAATTTACAACTAATACTGAATTAGCAAAAATCATTTGTCAACATTAATACTATTTTTTAACATGTAATATTTCATAACGCGCTTTAAAAGAGAAATATGTTTTAAAATAGAAAATGCTGAAACCTAATATAAGTATGTAGGATTCTTAAATAATAAAAATACGTAATAAAATTCCTAATGAACCTATATACCTATTTAAAACGTAAATACAAAAAACCTATATACTCATTCAAAATATTGTTAAAATGCGCCATATTATATTTTTAAAAATAAAGAAAACTCCAAGTATGTCCTATAAAAAGAAATTTAAATTAAAAATAGCAATTTAGAAAAAATCAAGACATCGAATTCCAACAGGCGGCCATTTTATTTAAACATTCCTTGACCAAAAAAAATAAAAAAAAAATGAGAGATACATTACGTAATTTATCAAAAATGTAGTACTATTTTACCCTTATCTAACACGCAGTATAGAAAGTACCAAAAAATACATAGTTTTACATACTTATTTATTAATCTACGTATATTATTTAAACAATATTCTTAAAAATTAATAACTTAATGGGGAACATTGAGAAGAAGGCAGCCATGATGGATACTGCGAAATCCAAAAATTTTAAACTAAAATATCCCAAAAAATACATAAAATTATGGGTACTCACTTTTTCAGGAGGCTAAGCAGGGCACTAGTAACAGATTACGCATAAATTGTGTACACTAAACGCACTTTTTCGTGAGAAAGTTAAAAAATCCATGCAACCGACGGGAGGACGTGCGGATCCTTCGATTGCAAAAGACAAAAGGAGGACCGGCGTTGCCAGATTGAAGTCATTCCTAAAATTTAAGCTGCTCATAAAATTAATTTATTTATTACTAATAAAATTGTTTATAGGAAAATTCTTCTAAATTAAGCTTAATTTTGTTCTCAAAAGTTATTATTTACTCAATACGTTCCACTGATATCGTTTTTTTACGTAAGGTAAAATATTTATTGTCATAAATCGTCCTATTGCTGCCAAAAGTCACTAACATTTTCCGAACCTGAAAATTCAATCACTAACTATATTGTAAAGCGGAGAATCGATTGAAAAAGGCATTAGCTACGATTTCTGGCTATTTATATTTTAGTTTGATACCGAATAGTTACTAACTATAACATCTTTATGCAATGCAATTCATCTTTAGACGCGTTTTTCTCGGAAGGAACAAAAAGTAAGTTAGTGACTTTTGGCAGCAATGGGACGAAATAAGAAACAAATAAGTAATTATAAACATAAACACACAAAAATCATGAAATAAACATAAAATGAAGCTGTTTAAATACATTTTTAATGCTATAAATACATCGAAACCAAGAATAAAGACTATAATGTTAGTACGTAGTTACAAGAAGAAATAAAAGAAATTCCTACAAAACAACATTACTAGTACTTGTTTTATTAAAAATATATAGAAATGGCCCTTACTATAGTGCCAGTGATCAATTTAAACTAATATAATTTGACAAAATCATACAGAAAAAAAGATTTTCGGCATTTTTTAACAATCCGACAACATCGAACGAGAATAAAATTCAAAATCTCCACGCGACCGAAACTGACCAATCACGATCGAGTATTTTTTGCTCTTGGATGCCACGATATTAACTTTTTTTAATAAACATGGATGATTTTTATTAAAATTTCAGTAGAATATGCTTCTTATTTATTCCCTCCAGTATAAAATATCATACAAAACTTATTTTATATTGAAATTATCTGGTACCCACGTAATTAGATGAACTATAAAATCATGCATTTCCTTAATATTTTAATAAATTATTAAGAAACAAGTGTTTTTATTCAATAAATATCCCTTAGTTTAATAAGAAACTAATTCTATATAGTTAAATAGTAAGAAATATGAGATAAATTATATGAATTATATAAAAAAATAACTTCAAAAGTCTTTAACTTGACTCGATGTTGACAGCTCTTACCGGATGTATCTGTTCAACTTTTGACGCTACATTTTTCAAATTTGAAATTTAATTAAGCTGAAAAATTCTTTATTTATAAGAAAAAATATATTAATAAGTACAAATTATGATCGAAAAAACGGCGTCCATAAATTTACATATAAAATGACAGCGATCTTCATTTCATAGTCATCGCTGACGCTATTTTTTTTCGATCATGTACGGTATTATTTATATTATTATTTTAATATTTCGCACAACACGTGAACGCTTATTATGTATTTTCATAGTCAATTTTATATACTCATAATAAAGACTCATAATACTTTCATTTCACAATTTTCATTATCCTTCTTACCTTAATTTTGGATATCAAGATAAATCTGAAATTATAAAATTAATTATAGAATTTGTATTTTTACTGATTAATTAATTAACACTCAAAAAAAAAATTTCAACTGCAAATAATTCGAAAATAAACTGAAATTTGGTAACATCGACGATGTGCGCTGTATCGATGATCAAATGCAGCAAATATGGGCTTCAAGGTCAGCCACCGGATTTCGCTAATATCTTGGCAACCATAGTTGGCAACATTGGAAAAATTTTAGTTCCAAATTTTCTCGCTTTTTCCACATTGGCGCTACGAGCGCTCTTCTTCTTTTTTGTTTTTTAGGTCTGAAGACAACCGTACCATAGAATCAATGTAACAGTCATCTTCTTTTTTAAATTTATGGCATGAAACATGGACAACCACAGATCTGACATATATTTCCTCTTCTTTAATTTTATATAGCTTAAACTCATACTGGTCATCAGGCCAGTATTCAGAAAAAAATATTCACAACGAGAGAGACCAAATTATAATCTATGGGTAATTACTAGACAAAGACAACAGCAAAAATAAACAAGTACAGCGATAGTTTTTTGGAAATCGTGGAAAAATGTTTAAAATAAATTATTATAGTTTCTTATTAAGTAAAACTTGTCCTCGTTTTCTACTAGTTAAACCAGTTAACACGTTCACTAATTATAATCACCTCAAGTTATCTAGTTCGACAATACCGGGATTTACTTTCAAAAAGAAGCAGCATGATAAAGAAACGATTGATAATAATTACAATAATGCTGGATCTTGGGGCCATAGAGTTACTCCAGTCCCAAAAGAAACTGAGGAGCAACATTTAGTGAGAGTTAGGAACGATCCTGATACATTTGGAGAGCAATATGAACAAGAAATAGTCGATGAAGGTGACATACGTGAAGAAAAACATCTCAGTGAAAAACCCCCTTCTCATCAAAGACTTCGCACCAAACAGTACGCAGATATAATTAAAAACTACATAAGAAAACGTAAAATAAAAGAAGCAATTGATGTATTAGAAATCAGAATGATACAGGAAGACAAAATTAAACCTGAAGCATACATTTACAATTTGGTTCTAGGTGCATGTGGTAGAGTGGGATACACAAAGAAAGCATTCATGCTTTATAACGACATGAAAAAACGAGGTCTTAAAGTGATGGGAGGCACGTACACAGCATTATTCAATGCTTGCGCTAACAGTCCATGGCCCACAACCGATGGTTTAACCAGAGCCAAGCATTTATACGAACTGATGCTAGAAAAAGGATATCAGCCCAACGACACAAACTACAATGCGATGATCAAAGCATTCGGCCGTTGTGGAGATATCTCTATGAGTTTCAAGTTAGTAGATCAAATGTTTAAACAAGGAATCTCAGTTAAATCAGAGACAATAAATTTTTTACTCCAGGCCTGTATTTCGGACAAAGAAGCTGGTTTTAGACATTCTCTTCTGGTATGGAGGAAATTAATAGAGAAAAACATCAATCCAGACCTGTATACTTTTAATTTACTGTTAAGATGCGTTAGAGACTGTGGTCTGGGTGATCTGGAAGTTACCAAGGATGTTATTGAGAGAATAGTTCAAAATAATGGAGGTGCCTTGTTTTTGGAATCATCTGAGGCTTTGCAGATTGATATTACATCAGAACAAAGTGATATTACATCAAGAGCAAATATTACATCGAGCAAAAATGGTAGTATATCAGAAAATGATGGTACTTCGGGTCAAAATGATATTACATCAGGAAAAAATGATAATATACCGGGAGAATTACAATTTTTGAATACCAGGCCTGATCTGTTAGCTCCAAAACCCCATTTAGGTGAGTCGAATGAATTAAATTCAATTATGAATAAAAATATAGTTCTTTTTAGGTAATATCTTGTCCCTTTCTGAGGTGAAGGCTTCAGAGGATCGCCTGTTGTTACTGGGCGGTTGTAAAGGGTTCCTTCAAACTATGACATCGTTTAAATGCACTCCAGATATAAAAACGTTTACTCAGCTGCTTGATTCAATCCCCAGCACCAACGCAGCTGAGAAAGAACTAGTGCAATGTATGAGAAAACTATCGGTCAAGCCTGACATTGATTTTTACAATATGCTCATTAAAAAGAAGGTATGTAAATTCTTTTTTAGTGAATTTTGTTTGTTGAATGATAAAAAAAATGTTTCAGAGTATGAGGTGTGATTATGAGGGCGCGAAAGAGGTTCTTTTATCGATGAAAAATCAGAAATATCGTCCTGATCTTGTCACTTACGGTGTGTTGGCTCTGGGATGCAAAAATAAAGATGAAGCCTTGGATTTGATCAGGGAAATGAATTCTTATAGCTATACGTAAGTTAAAATAATATTTTTAATGTTTTTTTAACTTTTTTTTTCTTATTTTTAGCTTAAATTCTGTAATATTAGGAGCAATGTTGCACCAAGCTTGTTACCACGAGACCTACGATTATATTTTTGAAATTATGGAAATCTGTCTCAGACAAAGCATCCCCGTTAGTAAAAAATTCCTGGAGCGTTTGGACGAATTTAGGAAGAGATGCAAAACAAAACTGGACTCGGAAGTAAATACAAATCTTGTTAATACTGTATCATCGAAAAAAAAACGGCGTCAAAGACAGCTGGGGAATGACAATCGACGATAATTGTCAAAACTTGTCATAAGTTAAGATAAAAAGATTACGTTTTCAGACAAATAACGTCTAGGGAGTGACCTCGCCAAAATTATCGTCGATTGTCACGCTCCAGCTTTCTATGACGCCGTTTTTTCTCGATTGTACGGTTATTTTTAATTTTTACGTTATATTTTTTCAGAAAATGAAACCTCGCGAAATGGAACTGTTCAAAATTTTTAAAATGAGACACAAGACTTGGTTGACTGAGGTTCAGATCGACGAGAGTGAAGATGCCCATCCCTGGCAGCAGTTTAGACAGGGTCTTCCTGAAGATGCTCACGAGACAACTGGAGTCAAAGATACAGCAAGGTTCAAGCCAAGACATGCTTCGCGTTTTAAGGTGAAGACCTCGACAAAAGAAGATTTTAAAAAAGCCAAAAAAGCCATAAGAAAATAAAAAATAGTTTATTTTTAGAGAAATAAAAAAAGTTTTTTACTACTATAATATTATATCTGTGATATTTGTAAATAAAGCATTTTTAAAAATATTAAACAAACTTTTTTTTTGTAACATTTATTTATATTTTAATAGTGAAAATAAATCTTTATAACAAAACTAATGAAAAAAAAATTGAGGAAAAGTAATCAACTAAATTAAAATCTTAAAAAGTTCTAACACAATTAATATAACTATCATTTTTTCAAAAAACAACATTTTTTTAAAATTTCATTTGTGTTATAAATTTCTCTAAGTTTATTATATAATTTTTAATCCCAATTTCATAATTTTTATTTGCAAACAAAACATTAATCAAAAATACCGGGTGTTGTTACACATTTCTTAATCTTTTTATATGACTAGAATTTTCCTATGACACATACACGTTTTTTTTTCACGAAATCTCCGAAGGAATGTATTAAGTATTTAGCTTTGACACACGCAAAAAAATATACCAGAGAAAGACAGATAGTAAAAAAAAAACGACGTCACGGTATGCGTCGAAATAAATATTACGTCTTCGCCTACCACGACGCAATTTTTTTTTCAAAACTGCGTATTTTTCAAGACGTCTTTTTTATCTCTTAATATATATCGTACAGTACGTTTACAGGGTTGAAAAAAAACGATTGTCTTTTTCGAGACCTAGCCGCGATGCAGTAGGTCCGCTAGCTCTCTCATCAGGGTGGTGTTCTCGTGCATGTAGGCCTTGGTTTCCCACAGCATGTTGCACAGTTTTTCGTCGCTTTTCTCGTCCATGGCGATTTCCTCGGACATTTGGGGGGAGAAGCGGAAATAGGGGACTCCCACGGAGGAGCACCAGGCCCGGGCTCGGTCCACGACCCTGCCGTCGCTCGCAGTGGCCTGTTTGGGAGAAGTTTTTGTTAAAAAAAAAACGTGCGAGTCCCATTGTGGGTTACTCTCTCTCTATATATATATTTTTTATGATTTAATTAGAAATGTACAGTTTTCAGATTTTCCCTATACTTGTAGTATAGAAGACGGTATTGCTGGCCGAATTTCATAGTTCTCGGTCAGCGGAAAATACCTTATAAATTTTGATTCCCTTGAGAGTGTTAATAGTTATTTTTTTCACTACGGGATATTGTTCAAGACACCTTTTTTATCTCTTAATATCATATAGAATACATTTACATTACATTATAAAAATGAAAGTAAAATAAAGAGATGAAGCATGTTTTAAACTGTTGTAAATTAAAATAACTAGTTTTTTACGTGTAAAAAACTTCCACAGAAGTATTTTCCATCCACAGATTGGAAAAGCATTCATAGGTTAGGATTAACTGTCAATGATCGTCGTTCAAAAATATTTTAATAATTTATTTCATAACTTTTTGCGGTCTTTACTGATAATTTATACCGTACGATCAAAAAAAAAAAAACGGCGTCAGCGATGGCTATGAAATGAAGGTCGCTGTCGTTTTATATGTAAATTTATATGGGAAATGTCATTGATCGTCACTTCCCAGCCAACTGGACGCGGTTTTTTTTTCGATTATACACAACACTGGAAAATGGACGTCAACAAAAAAGTTCATCTGTAATTTATTATGTTTTTATACTTTTTTACGGGTTATTTACATTTTTTACACGTATTTTACACCAAAACGTTATAAAAAAAAGAAAGACAAGCGTAAATCCGTTCAATGAACCTGCGGACGTAGATTTATTACGTTTTCTAACAACGTAAAAAAACCTACTTTTTTACGCGTAAAAAAATATTTTTTACATTAGTTTTTTACGCACCCATCCCTGATTTTTTTCCCGTAATTTTTGCTCGTGCTCTGACGAAAATCCAAGTAAATTAAATAGAAACATAATCAATTCCTACCTGATCAACGAGCAGAGTGCCCAAATTTTGCAGTCCCAAAAATACTTTCGTGGTGTCCCAAATACTTTCCGGCCTGTATACGTCGACAGCTTTCAGTTCTGTCACCGGAATGACACCTGAAAAAAAAAACGGATATATACAGGGCGTACAGAAAATTTTACATTAAAGGACAGATTTTTTACCTGTTCCTAGACTAATGACCACAGAGATTGGACATGCTTCTTCTTCCCTATTTCTGGCTTTCAAAGCGAGACAATGCTCGTGAATTTCGGTTAAGGCGTCTAATGTAGGGTTGTTGGCTATCAGACCACCGTCTAAGTATCTTTGGAACATTCTAAATACACCAAAAGAAACATATAGCCTGATATATATGTAAAAAACTTTTTATGAAGAGCTAAAAATCTACTTTTTCGAAAAAAAAAAAATATTTCCTTAAAAAAATGAACAAAAAAGAAACAGCTCTAAAAATTTAATTAAAATAATATTTTAAATAAAGATACGTTTAAAAAATGTACCTGTAATACGTTGGAGCGGCACCCGTGGCACGTGCCACTTGCCACACGTGCTGCTCTTCGGGTGGAGGGGGTAATTCGTAGGGGGAATCGTGTTTCACCCCCAAAATATTGTTGGGACTCGTATAGTTTCTAAACAAGTGCAATTCTGCCGGTTTTCTGTCAGCTAGCAGACCAGTTATCATTACCTATAAGAAAACAGTAAAAAAAACAACTAATTCTATAAGAATTTACAAAAAACACACATTTATTAATAAAATAACAACATACACACACCGGAAAAATCTAGGGATATCATTTTATTAAAGTTAAAAATAAATGTTTTGAATAAACAACCATATATTTGTAGGCCGATTCTTTCTACTTCGATTGAAACGAAGTAGTCACACTAGTTATTTCTAAATTTGGGATATTTGCAGAAGTGTTTGTGCATTTTTTGTCAAATGTATAAAAAGCACCTAGCATCAGTTGTTCGAATTTAACCTGTACTGGCTATGTTTTTATGATAACTGGCCAGAATTCATTCAAATAACTCTGTTTAGTATTAAACGACTTTATGGAGCGTAGACATCTTAACAGAGACGAAATGCTAAGGGCCATGGGTATGGTCGAAGCTGGAATGCGCCAAATCGACGTAGCTAGAGCATTAAATACAACGCAAAGCGTAATATCGCGATTAAGTGCACGCTACCGTGAAAGTGGTGATTTTGCTGAAAGGCACACAGGGCGATATCGCATTGCTACCCCTCAGCAAGATCATTTTTTACAATTAAATGCTCGACGCCGACCGACTCTTACAGCACCAGAGCTTAGTTTAATTCTCCAGGAAACACATAATGTAACCGTTAGTCCTGACACTGTTCGCAATAGATTAAGAGAGGTCAACTTAAGAAGCAGACGTTCCTGGAGAGCTCAACCCTTAACGAGATGAAATCGAGAGGTACGATATTTGTGGGCTTAAGATCATGTTCAGTGGTCGAATGAACAATGGGCCAATGTTCTCTTTACGGATGAGTCACGCTTTGGAATTCATCCGGATTCGAGAAGGCTTAGGGTATGGAGAGAACCGAGAAATCTTATTCGGTTGGATCATGTTCAGGAAGTGCACCCTTATCAAGGTGGAACAGTTATGGTCTGGGGAGGAGCCCAGTTAGGCCGAAAAACCGATCTCGTTTTTCATGAAAGGTTTCTAACATGAATATCGTGATTTAATTCTTGAGCCTGTCGTGTTACCATATGCCAATGATTTTGGGAGAAACTTCATTCTCATGCATGACAATGCACGGCCTCATACAGCCAGAGTGGTAAGTGGGTTTATCAATGCTCATCAATTAAACATCTTACCCTGGCCGGCACAATCTCCTGACCTCAACCCCATCGAGCACGTATGGGACGCGGTCCAAAGAAGAATTTTGAGAATGGGTATGCCTCGTGAAACTCTTAGGGATCTGGTTCGGGCCGTGAATGCAGCGTGGCAGGCTGTACCTCAAGAAGAGATCGACAACCTGATCAGGAGCATGGAGAGATGATGTAGGGCTGTAATGAACAGTAGAGGAGGCCATACCCTTTATTAAGTAAAAATGGTTTTTATCTTTTTTTTTAATTCACAGTTTAGAATAAAAAAAAAATGTGTGCATTTTTTTGAGTTCATTAAAAATCAAGGTAAATTTGAAAAATTCGGTAAATTTCGCATTTTTATTTCCAATACGTCCTGTAAACTATTTGTTTATTTTAATTTTATTATATCAGAAATGCAAATAATAAAATTACTGACGATGGCTGGATAAAATTGTAATATCCCTAGACTTTTCCGGTGTGTGTATTTCAGTATTATTTTCCTAATGTTTAAGTACTTACTTTGGGATGTTTGATATCGGACATCACAGTTTCAGAACCAAAAGTTTCCTTCATGACATTCTCCAAGTTTTCGCTACAGTAAGGCCGACTACCCACAAAAGTCTGTTCCTTCAGTCTAAAATACAAGCACTGGCACTCTTTCATCGTTTTTCCAGAAGCTATACCTGTAAAAATTAGGAAAAAAAAAATGAAAAATTGCAAAAAAATAACGCTTACTATGTTCGAAACTATTGACCATAAATAATACATAGAGACGCGAATTTGAATGGTATCCTGTAGCCAACATCTATTATAATAACGTCACGCCAGGGCAAACATAATTCCTTGTTAAATCGTTGGTCCCTTTAAGAGACATAATGATTTTATGTTTGTTTCAACGTTAAGTTTGAAAGAACTGTATCTATAGTAGAGAAAATATACGATTGTAAAATAAAATTTCTACATTATTATAAAAAAACATTTTTGTACCATAGACCATAAAAATAAATAGAGAAGTAATTTAATCGGAATTTTGTAGCCAGCATAAAACTTGATGGCGTCACACCAGGGCAAATATGTCCTTGTTTGTTTCCGTCTCAGAGAAAGGACGACTTTAAAACGGTTTCCAAGTAACGTCAGGTACAACTGTATCTATAGGCTAATTTTTTTGGCACACCACATAATAAAATGACAGAAAAAGTCTAGAAATATTAGAAGTCTAAAAAATCTAATATATTATTAAAAAAAATGTATCATAGACCATAAAAATAAATAGACCCATAATTTAACAGGTATATTGTAGCCAACATAAAAGACATTGACGTTGCGGTACTCACCCAGAGCTAAGATGCCTCCGGTACTCGTTCCAGCAACCCAGTCGAAACAGAAATTTATCGGCCTCTGGAACACCGACTCCAATTCCAGCAGCATCTGGACCAATACCAGTCCTCTGATTCCACCTCCGTCCAAGCATAACAGTCGACCTTTTTTTGGAAAATCGTTTTTCTTGTGCTTTTTGGCCGCTATCTCCATACCGGCCACTGCCAGCATCTGATTGAGCACGTCTCTGTTTGTTGGACCAATAACCTAGAGAAAATGCGATATAGTGCATACAGAAATGCTTGAAAACAGAGCTACAACTATAAACTGCTAAATATATATTTTTTTAAAAACTCACCTTAGGTGGTGGAATTCCATCAAAGGTACCGTCGTGGACGCAACCCTCGGTACATCCTTCAGTACCCGGAGGACACCTCCTAGCTCCCACGGCGTGAAGGTAGTACAAAATCTTATTTTCCTGATCTAAAAATTCGAAATTAAATTAATTTAATTTAAAGAAAAAAAAAAAAGAAAATCGTACCTTTAGTAATCATGTGCCTGGGTGATTCCCCCGCGTAGTTCAGCACGTCCAAATCAGCCCCAAACACGATCAGAGCTTGCAAAATCGAAATAAACCCGCATTTTACAGCTAGATGTATCGGTCTGTTACCATCTTTATCGGGGAGGTTAGATTTGGCCTGTCTACTTAAGAGAGCAACTGCGCAACTCAATCTAAGCAAAAAAAAAGGAAAAAAGTTGGTTATATTCTTTATGACGTCACGTTAGTGGGCCGTTAAGCTCCGCCTTTTAAGGTGACGTCACGACGAGATGTTGCCGGTATTTAGTCACCTGTTTCTCTCGACCATGACGTGCAGAGCTGTCTTGTGCTCGAAATTCACGGCGTTTATGTTGCAGTTGACGTCAATGAGGGCATCGATCACTTGACGTGAATTAGCCCAGTGTAACGGGGTACCGCCGTGCTTCATGTCGTTTTGGTACAGGGTGTTGGGATAATCCTGTCAGAATATTAAAAAATATGTTTTTTTTTGTATATTAAATACCAGTAATACTAGAAAAACATATTGACAATGCTGCTCAAATTTTAATATTTTTATATTGAATAAGTTTATTTTTAATATTACACTAAGATAAATAAAAAAAAAGCGTCGGAGTTGGCTTGGAAGGTAATTTTGTAGATAAGAAGGTAATTTTCTATTCATTTTTTAACACAAACAGCATAAATAAATATAGATTTTTTTTTAATTTTATTGAGGAATAATTTATTAGTTTTTAGTTCACTAACCTGCAAAAAATTTCCTACATATCCTGGCTCGCTATAATCCCCATCCCCTGTAGCCGTTTTGTTTACATCGGCCCCCGCAATAAGCAACGCCTTCACACAATCAGGCTTATCAGCCAAACAGGCCATATGCAAAGGCGTGTGGCCGTTTTGGTTGCGAGAATTCAAACACTTCGGCGGAGAACCCTGAGCCAGAGCCTAAAATCAATCCCTACTGTTATAAAAACCATCAAAAATCATATAAAAATATTTATTTACAGCAATTATATCTTTGGTAGTACTGGCCGCATAATGGAACACGGAATTCCCGTCCCAATCCAAGTGTTCCAATGAACAATTCGCCGCTACTAGCATTTGAACCGTTTTAAGATTGTGCGTGGTGATGGCAACTTGCAGAGGCGACATACCCTTCTCACTGTCGCTACTGTTTAGAAAGCAATTCACTTTGGGATTGTTAAAGGAGTCGTAGAGAGCAAAATATGCAGCTAGATGGGCCACAGTCCATGTGGGATGCTCCGACAAGACGTCACAAATTTTCTGGAGTCCATTTATGTTATACATCTAAAAAAATCACACTATTTTCTTAAAAAAGCCTTTAAATAAAATTAAAAACTCTTACCTCCTTTGCAATCTCAATAAATACCGGCAACTTGTCATGTAGTATGGTAAATTTAACTTCAGCATCGTCCAAGTTGTTTGCACGGAACAAACTTCAAATGAAAACTTATTTTCATCTTACTCTGTATAATATAAGGGTAAATAGCTTACCTGAAGGTTTGGACTAGAGTTTCCGTAGTCGGTCTGTGCAGAACTATCTCGAAGGTAGGTCTGTTTGAGGTTTTTTGAGGTAAGTACAGGACTAGACCATCCTCTCTCATATGGATCTCTCTGGAAGCAAAAGAATCCGATCGACAGTCTGTAACTTTGTTTGAGGGGACGTCGTTATTGAGAAAACTACGTAACACTGCAAAACACAGAAAGAATACTCTAGAAAAGTGAGAAAACAATCTAAAACTAGTAGTTTTTCGCTAGTCTTACCATCGAAACCTGCTGCGAGCATCGTGAATTAAATTTACTCTCTTTGTTGTACTAGTTTATGGGAAAAACATAGTTCAATTCGGGCGTTATCTAACGCACAAAACAAAATCTGCCAATAGAACTTTGTAACATTTAAAAAATTCCAGGAAAATTTGGTTAACCTTTAATTGTAGCTATGTTTACTGCACTTACGTGGTTTTATAATTCGTCATCAGTCTTTTGTCATTGACTATTTTAATTCTTATTTTCTCAATTGATAATTTTTTATCTCATAGGCTATATAATAAACAATCCCTTATCAGTCAGACAGTTCAATTAGCGATGACCTTTCATCTAAATAACTTAAAATATAAAAAAAAATCGAAAGAAAAAATTTGTTCCGTTCGTAGGATCATTAAACACTACAAACAGCTGTCAAAATTGCTGTCAAATGTCAAATACATATTTTTGACGTTTGTGTTGAGCTTTTCGAGGTGGTTTTTAAGAATTTCAAAGTATTTTAGCGTATTTTCTGAAGATAATTGAATAAAATACAGTAGAAAATGTATAACGAAGAGTACGAACAGGTATTTATCCAATTACACGATCAAAATCGATCGGAAAAGTCGATTTTACGTGTTTTTACAGTAGTAATGTCCGTCGTACATGTGGACCGGAATAAACATAGAAATGGAATATAAACTAAAATAAAATCTAGGCATACCGACTTGTTTTGCAGGAACCAAGCCCATAATTAAGTTAAAATACAATTTAGGCAGTAAATTCACCATTTTATCTTGTAAAAATTATGACATTTTGTGCCAATTCAAAGCCTACTTTTTGACAGGTTATTTCATAGAATATTTTCGAAAATTTCTTCTATTCGTAGGGCTACAACGACTATGACGATTACGGGGTGCATACAGGGGATCCGAATTTGGACGAATTCAACAGGCAACAATATAAAATACCAGAGACCGTAAGAAATTTTTTGGTTTACTTTCGAAACAATGTTAACGAAGGGTTGATTTTTGAACTGCAATCGTTGTACGAGCATTCCTGGCCGAAGTTGACGGAAGATTACTTTGAAAAAAGGCCGTGGCCTGATCATAATGAAGTTAAACCAATAGTTGATGATGATCCGGTAAGTGTAACTGGAATCTTACCTTCATTTTTAATAGTTACTTTCATATCATTAACGTTTTGAGACACATTGGTTAGTTTGTTCTTAACTTGATCGCCTCTATCCTTTAGTTCTTCTCTAATTTTTTCTTTCATCTGTTCTGATTTGTTTAAAAACTGTTGCTTGTAGTGATCCATTTTGTATCAAAGATTCTATATTTCTTTAAATAAAATATACATAGTTAAGTCTACAGTAACTTTGTGATGGGGATAGTTGTATTGATTTTATTACATAATTTATAGATATTGATTATTTTCACCTGTTTAGATAAAAAAAACATGAATATTTTATGAATGTGACAATATTTTCTTTTTCAGGTTTTTATGATTTTGTATAAAGAACTCTATTTTCGGCATATCTATGCTAGAATTCAAGGGGGACCGAATTTAGAGCAAAGATTCGGTTCTTTCTACAATTATTGTGATCTGTTCAATTATATTTTGAGTGCCGAGGTACCAGTACCTTTGGAACTACCCGATATATGGTTGTGGGAGCTTATTGACGAGTTTGTCTATCAATTTCAGGTAAGATCTGTATAAAAATCAACGGCTAAAGAATACAAGGACGCGTCACGCGCAAAATCTGTGACGTAAATTATAGGACGCCATTTTTTTGGTGCCAAACAAATGGGGTGACACCAAACGGTTTGATTAAACTTGATTTTTTAGATATGCTATTTTATTAAAATTAGGTAACGATTTGAATAGTAATAGTTGAAATACATGGAATGTTGCACTTATTCTTGTTTTTTATTAAAGTTTTACGTAAATAGGGTTGATTAAAAACAAAAATCATTGGATCATGCAGTTTTCTTTTATATTTTAATATTTAACTGTGATTTTGCAAAAAATATTAGATTGGTTAGCATTTGGGTTGCTTTGGTTAGCTTTTCTTTGTGGAGGGTGTTAAGCTGTGGTTTTTATGTTTTAATAATTAACTGTGGTAATGTGTGTGTGTAAAAATATTATTAGATTTATTATTAGATTGGTTAGCATTTCAGACACTTTTAAATTATTTTTTTTTTGGTTCAAAAGTGATAAAAAGGTAATTTTTTATGTATTTATGCTTACAAAAATGGAAAATGAAAATCAAGCATTTCCATAGGAACTTTTTTATTTTCCTGAGTTTGTAAACGCTTCTAAAAGGCAAAAATATATTTATTTTTTATATAACTGAGCTATTCTAAAGCCAATTAAATTTCCTCAGAAAATGGATACAGTTTATTTCCGCAGGAAAATTTTTATTTTCCTCGATTCGTGAATGCGTCTAAAAGGCAAAAATATATTTATATTTTATATAACTGATTTCAGCTATTCTAAAGTCTAATAAATTTCCTTAGAAAATGAAAACAGCTTATTTCCGCAGGATTCTCAGAATTTCAGAAAAATATCAAAAATAAAACGCAAAATGTATTTTTTTTATAACAGATTTCAGTTATTCTAAAGTGAGAAATTCGGAAATTACGCATTTCCGCAGGAAAATTTATGTTTTCCGTGGTCCACAGTAGCTGTTTAAAGAGAAATTTTTTTTTTTCTAATAACTGATAAAGTTGACCCTTTGGTCCTTGTATTGTTTAGTCATTGATAAATCTGTGGTAATTTTTAATAAACCCGATTTTTTTAGTCTTTTTCACAATACAGAGCCAGATTACAGAAAAAAACCGCTGCCGAATTGGACACGTTGAATTCTAACAATAAGGTGTGGAACGTGCTTTGTGTTTTAAACGTTCTTCACTCTTTAGTCGATAAAAGTAACATTAAGCAACAATTAGAGGTGTATGCCAGCGGCGGCGACCCCGACTCAGTGGCGGGGGAGTTCGGACGACATTCCCTCTACAAAATGCTGGGCTACTTCAGTTTAGTTGGTAAATTTTTGTTTGTTTTTTCAGGGTTGGCATGATTTAAATCTGGTGATTTTTTTAATTTTAATCTTGCGATTTAAATAAAAAAAAAATAATTTTATTGAAACTTTATAATAAATAAAAAAATAACTGTAAAAGTTATAAAAAGCTGCGGTTTTTTGAGAGATGACAAACGCACCGTAGAATTGTTAAAGTTATCGATATCCGGCAGAGTTATAAAGATTTAGCCATTTAGGATAGGTCTTTAATTGGAGATAACTTCTAGTCAATTGGAAATACGATTTATACAGACCGGACCACCGTAGTAGTAACATAGGCAGAACCCAAGAACGGTAAAATAATAGGATTGCTCATCCTCATAAGACGTACGTTCGCCTCTTCCCGCGCTTCAGCTGACAGTTGTGACGTCATTGTAGTCCTTGTCAAAGCCTTCGTGGCCTTGTCATGATAGTGTGTATTATTAGTTGCCTATGGTAAACTCCTCATAAGACGTACGTTCGCCTCTTCCCGCGCTTCAGCTGACAGTTGTGACGTCATTGTAGTCCTTGTCAAAGCCTTCGTGGCCTTGTCATGATAGTGTGTATTATTAGTTGCCTATGGTAAACTTATAAAAATAACAGCTGAGAAATTTTCAGTTAATTATTTTGTCAATTTTAAATGTGAAAAAGGTGTCTTTAAAGTTTTTAGAGCTATAGAGTGTATAAATACGTTCATTTTGTGTTGTGGATTGTGACAAAGTGCATACCAAGTGCCTACGATTTTGTTTATTAATTATTTTAAAGCAAAATATGGAAGTACTCTAAAAAGAATGCTTGCAAAAGGTGATGCTGGGAACTGCTGTTCTTAAAAATGCAGTGTCCGAGTATTTAGTACGATTTATACAGTTAATTTTCTATACTGCATACATATAAGGTGTTTAAATAAATAAACTAAATAATGAACGTTTTGTATTCGGCAACCAATAATGCACGTGTGTGTATTATTGGTTGCCGGATAAGGACTAATAACCATGACAAGGACTACAATGACGTCACAAAGCGAGTAGTTTTCGCATGCACCTGGCGGACACTTTTGGCTGAATGAGCAGTCCTATTAGGTTAGTAGTAACATAGGCAGAATCGGACGAATTAGCGTATACCCGTCCGCCGGATAAAAAGCAGGCGAAAAAATGCCATAAAATAAAAATAGGTAGATATGTGATAAGAATGTTTCAGAATTTGAATTTATTCGTGTTTTAATAGCCTAAACGAATACATTGATTCTCGCGACAGTTCTCGTGTAAAATTTATTTTTTAAGTAAAATAATGGATGCTTACGAAGTTCGTGAGAAAATTCAAATTGTAAAATGGTATTTCCAAAATAGGTCTTATCGGAATATACAAACAATTTTTCCACAAACTTTTGTAAATAGGCCAATTCCATCTTTACCTACTGTATCAAGAGTTATTAATAATTTTGAAACACATGAGTGCTTGTTCCCACAAAAACACAAAAAGCCTGATGTGTTGATTAATGAAGAACAGGAGTTAAAGCAAGTGTTCATTTGTGCTACCGCGGATCAAAATCCCACGTTTTCAAGTAATCAAATTGCTGAGGTGGTTGTCCTGCCCACAATGCCCGTATCGATCAAGAATATTTGAACAATACTTTTCCCAACCGTTTAATTAGTGGACATGGAACTATTTTGTGGCCCGCTAGATCACCAGATCTTTCTCCCAATGACTTATTTTTGTGGGGTTATGTAAAATCGAAAGTGTATGGTCATAATAGGGCTCATAATCTGGATGAGCTTCAAGGAAAAATACGAGAGGCTTTCCAAACTATTAGCCCTAATATGTTAGCCAATGTCAGACGGGGATTTTACGACCGCGTAGGCTTGTGGCTAGTACAAGAAGATGGTCTTTTTGAACACTTTTTATAACTTTTTCTTATTTAGAGTAATATTTTATTTTTTTTTTGGTGCACTGCATAGACAAACTAACAAAAGCAAGACGCGTCAACGCTGTACTGCAAAACGGTAACAAGTTTGATAAGAGTTTATTACCGCGCTTGCGTCAACTGGCCTTTTAGACGAGGACGGTTTACTTATGGATTGTGTATTTTGTAGTAGCCTTTTAGACAAGGATGTTTAAAAAGCGTTTATTAAAATCAAATAAATTTATTTCCATCGGTAAAATAAACAATAATTTCTGGACATAACAGATATAAAAACAAAAGTTAAATAAACGAAAACGTATTTCTCTTATTAAAATAACAAAAAAGATGATAAAAAAACAACAGTTATGGTAAACGAAATAAAAGCATTCTTCAAAAGGTACAAAAAAATAATTATGTATGTTATAATATTAATAATAGGAACAACAAGAAACATCTTAAAAATATACAACTTTTTCAAATATAAAACAAAAACATAAACTTCACATTTTCACAAGAATTTGCAAAAATATTAACATTTCGAGTCTATTATAAAATATAAAGCACGAAAATTCAAATCATAAAAAGATTAAAAAGATAGAGATTCTTATAACTTACAGTCAATTTGTAGGACCTTCGTTTTGTCTACGTTAGCGATGTAATCACAATAATATGTATAATCACAGTAATTATTATGTTCTTCATAAATGTAAAATGTATTAAATTATTTGTTTTCGTTTTGTACGCTAATAAAATAATAGTAATAACCAAACAAAATGCAAAATCAGGAATTCAACAGTTCGTTCAAGGCAAAAACGTTTTTCCTTTTATTTAGGTTAGGTTTGACGAGTGCGACTGCGCGATGATTTCTGACTCAACTGGCCAGCGCAAAAACAATAATTCGACTTCCTCAATCCTTTGAAAAGTCTTGCTTTTGTTAGTTTGTCTATGGTGCACTGTCGTGACTTCATGTCGTATTCCTAGTCTGTCACGACCGACCCGTCCAAGCACAACTGCAACTGTGTACTGCCTGACTAGCCGACTAGCCGGCAGTGAATCTCGAGTACGAGCGCAAAACGGCTAAACGTAAATCGTCCGGCAACTTGCTATGTTACTAGTAGCCTGGTCTTCTCTGTATATTGGTTTTGAATCAAAATCAAAAAAATCTAATTTTTAAAAAAAAAGTCATGATTTTTTCCAACCCTGGTTTTTTTCCTAAATCGGTTTTAAACGATACATTTTCTAGGTTTGTTGAGACTACACTCTCTCTTGGGCGACTACTATCAAGCCATCAAAGTGCTGGAGAACATAGAAGTGCACAAGAAATCCCAGTACGCGCATATTCCAGCTTGTCAAATATCGACGTCGTACTACGTCGGTTTCGCCTACATGATGATGCGCCGGTACTCCGACGCGATACGTACCTTCTCCAGTATTCTGCTCTACATTCAGCGCACGAAACAGCTGTTCGCTTCGAAAACGTACCAGCACGACCAGATCAACAAGCAGACGGATCAGATGTACCACCTGCTGGCCATATGCCTGGTACTGCATCCGCAGTGCATCGACGAGAGTATTCAGCAGACTCTGCGGGAAAAGTCGTACCACGAGAAGATGTACAAGATGCAGATCGGGGATCTACAGGCGAGTACTATCACCTGGAAAAAACGATTAAATTTCTTTTATGGATTTTGATGGTCGATTATATACAGGGTCGTTTTTATGTATGGAAACGGTCGATTATTATTAGGTAAAATATCCGCAAAAAGTTAAATTTAAGTTATCTATACCACAGATTAGGTATACTATATGTATAGAGATAAAAATCTTATCCCTAATTCGTGGTACGAAAATTGTTTTTTATGACGATGTGCAAACGAGTAAAATTTCCTGTGCGCAAAAATAAACTCGCGCAAAATAACAATAAACAGCGTAATAGAGAGATATCGCTAAACCGAATAGCGTGCATGGACGTTAATAAGGCCAGGCGTTATTTCCTTTACGTGAGGTGGTATTAACTCTCTTCATTTATAGTTATCGGATCGGAAAGAATTCTGTTCGCGTCGCGTCCGCTATTTAAACTTAACCTAACTTTTAATTCAAAACTTTGAAATTGTTTTGTTTACTAGGTATTTTAAAACAGTGGGTTTAGGTTTAGGGCAACAAGCAACAAATTCTCTTAGAAGGGCTAAGTCGTCATCTGCTGTAAACCTAAGCCTCTTTATAGGTTCTTTAATATTGGAAGAGGCGGAATCCATATTTTGGGCCATATTTATTTAATTAAAACTAATCCCAGCTACTTAAATATCAAATTACCTAATAAAACTAAAGTAATGATTCAAAACAATTCAAACATAACCTAAAATAAAAGATCTCGCCGGCCGGCCCCGGTTGTCAGATATCCGCACATGCCCATTTAAGCAATTTTTAAACGTTATTTAGAAATAGCGCTTGGTGTAATTGATCCGCAAATTACGTCAGGCGGTAACGTTATTAGCGGGTGTTAATTAAGTTAAAAATTGACTCGCGCGCATATCGTAACCATGATAAGGTACGCGTAAATACTGCATGACGCTATTCGGTTTTCCGATATCTCCCTAATAACTGTGCCGGTCAGGCGCTGTGCACAATTTTAGAGGCCATAAGTGGGCGTGCTCTATGTGCGCAAACTAGTAACCTAACTAGTGCCCGATTCCGAAAATTGGACCCACGACAAAAAAATAAAGAAAAAACAAAATTTATAATCTCTATACTAATATATAAAATCCTTAAGTGACTGACTCACTGATTAATCACGATCCTGCTCAAACCGCTCAACGTAAGAAGCTCAATTTTGGCATACAGGTTGATTCTAGGGTGTAGAGGTTCGATAAGAAGGGATTCTTCGAAATTCCAGTTTCAAGGGAAAAGAAACCACCCCTCAAATTTTACAATATTTTTTATTTAAAAAACGGTCAAGTTTCCGAAAAAACGCTTAAACACGTATGCTTTATTTTGTTTTTTTTTACATATTTTAAGATTTTTTAAAAATGTATACAGGGTGTTTCGAAAAATCTGGTCATTGATTAATCACGATCCTGCTTAAAGCGCTTGATGTAAAAAGCTGATTTTTGGATTCACACGAAATTACTTCAAAAATCGGTTCATAATTTAAATATTGATGAATAGATATTTTTATATAGTTTTATAAAATTTACAATTATTTTATTTACTAATTTGAATAATCGACCGTTTCCGTACATAAAGGCGACCCCGTATTTTGTTTTGGTTGGTCTATTTTGATGATTTTTTTATGCAATTCGTAGCTAAATTACTTACGTACTTTATACAGGGAAAAACAAAATGTTGTTATTTTGGTGAAAGTTTAAACACCCTAGAACACAATAAGATATTAAAGTTTAAATTTTTTTTCAGGATATTTAATACAAAACTCGACCTTTTTTTGGTGCACCCTGTATAATGATTCTTTTTTTTCGGTTTTTAGGAGTTCGAAAATAGTTTCGTGTACGCTTGTCCGAAATTTTTGTCGCCTTATCCGCCCCCCACCAACTCGATTCCCGACGATTATTCCAAGGAAGTGATTCAACATCAGACGCAAGTTTTTATGGATGAAGTAAGTATAGTAATCGCAAAACATTTCCCGATGCACGTCTTCAATCATATCTAGTGATGTAAAATTTCCAGAAATATACAGGGTGGCGCACCTCATTCGCCTCATCGAACTAAATCATTTCCATAGATCCAGTGACGTACCGTGACTTTGAATTTTGAGACCAAAAACTGACAAATAATTTGTGAAAAAAATCATATTACAGCTATATGTTTTATTTTGCATAAAAATGTTAACTAATAAGTTAGAATAATTATATTTCTTTCCTAACTAAGTGGTTTTATCGCTAAATTTAACTAAAGCTAAGTACAACACAAATCTTAAATACGTGGACTGTTATAACAACAAATACATCGTAAAAGACTATTTTGGTAGCATTCTGAACGAGGATTCAAGTTAAACTTTTTAGAAAATAATTTAAAGGAAAAATGAACCTGCTCAGATGCTTGTTCCGAGTAAAATTCTAGAGCTCTATGATTTGCTTTTATAAACTCTGGCACATGATGCAGAATTGCATGAATCTTTGGAGTTATCTTAATACCTAAGTTGAGTATTTCCAATCTAAATTGTTCAATGTCATGTTCAAAATATTTGTTTAGTGCTTGACCAAAACAACTCGAAACTACTTGATTGAATGCAGAAAACACTGCAATATATTTATTTCCAAAAAAAAAAAGATTTTTAGGTTTTTGCTTGTCAAAATTTTGAATAGGATTCTTTACCGGGCGATAACGTCTTCAAAATATCCACTTTCTTTAAAAGTTGTCTGGCGTTATTTCCGTTACATTTTCCATAATGATCTAGTTTCAATCCAGCTTTTTTTATCCATTCTGTTACAACATTGGTATTCTCCAATAATTCAAGACAATCAAATAGTTTTTGAACCACACCTAACAAAAGGTGAAGCTCAGGAGGGGAAATATACTTTAAGACAGGTACAGTTTTCTAAAAAATAATTGCCCTTTTTTATATGGTTCATTGAACAACAGTTTAAAAAATACAAAAAAAAAATATTTCAAACAAAAACGCTTACTAAAATCTTTGGCTTTTGTTATATTTCCTCCAGATTGTTGCCATAAATTTGTATTTTCTGTAATACTTTTTATAGTTCTGAATGATCCTTTAATTTCCATTTCCTTTACATTTACATTATACCATGAGCAAGTGTGAGTGGATGAATTTGACCGAAGACCAAGGAGAATCATAATAAGCTTAAAGTCAGCGGCAAAAGTATAGGAACAAATTCCACAAATGGACTGCAGATCTAACGTCTCAAAGAGGCTTTTAATGTTAACATAAGATTCAGACAACTTTGGTCCTAAGCCAATTATGAATAGTTTATTAATTCCAGCACTTTTATATTTCTTGAAATATTCAGGATCATTTTCAGGGGGCACATTCAGACAAACTTTAAGTGATCCACCACCACTATCAATGCCAATTTTTACATCAAAATCTTGAGATAATTCTCTAATTTCCAAAATATATGATAGAAGACCAGATAAATCTGAGCAGTATACAAAAATTAATATTAACTGAATTAACATTTTTCCTTTAAATTATTTTCTAAAAAGTTTAACTTGAATTCTCGTTCAGAATTCTACCAAAATAGTCTTTTACGATGTATTTGTTGTTATAATAGTCCACGTATTTAAAATTTGTGTTGTACTTAGCTTTAGTTAAATTTAGCGATAAAACCACTTAGCTAGGGAAGAATTATAATTATTCTAACTTATTAGTTAACATTTTTATGCCAAATAAAACATATAGCTGTAATATGATTTTTCTGACAAATTAAGTCACGGTACGTCACTGGATCTATGGAAATGATTTAGTTGTTCGATGATTTTGAAAGAACTCATTATGGCCATTAAAAAATTACCAATTTTACAATTTATATATTTTTTATTTTGAATCATATAAAAACCGAACAGTGTTGGTATCTGGGAGATTTTTGACACGAGAAATTTGATTTTGATATCAATTCGACTCCTACTTGTAGAGATCGCCACCTGAATATTTTTAACTGGTTTGAAGACCAATAACTTTTCGTCTGTACCATAGACTAATGTCACGTACTAGAAATAGTACGTACGTGTTTCAAATTCAGCTCTCACCATTGGGAGAGCCGAATTTGTAACGCCCTGTAGATCAGTATTACAAGATAAGGGTTATCTAGGTGCAGCAACAAAGGATGTTGCCGACCATCAGGAGCTACCTGAAACTGTACACGACCCTGCCTCTGAGCAAACTGGCCACGTTTATGGCTCAGAACAACCGCAACGACGGCCAGTGGGACTTGGACAAGGAGACTCAGACGCTCCTGATCCATTTGCTCTGCTTCAAGCACAAAATGAAGAACGTGGTGTGGTCGAAAGGCGCCTCTGGGCTGGAGGGAAAATTCCAGAGCGGATCCGAGGTGAAAATTCTGAGACTGGCGGCTTTCCCGTAAACCTAACCCTATTTTTTGGATTTTTAGCTGGATTTCTATATCGATAACGACATGATTCACATTGCCGATACTAAGGTTGCTCACAGATACGGAGATTTCTTCATCAGGAAGATTCTAAAGTTTGAGGATATCAACAGGAAGCTTCACCATCTTAGGTTATGAATTATATAATTTTTTTTTATCTTTTTCTTAAACGAAATAAATTCAAAGAAGGAGGGTGTAAAAGTGTTTTATTTATCTATAAGTAATTTTGTTTACAGAGGAAACATTATCTACATGTAAAAAGTAAAAATCTATATCACAACATTTCTTCAAAATAAAAAACTATCAAAATTTCATATTAATTATATAAGTATGTTCTTTTTTTTTCTTTTAGAATTATTAAACTTTTCCAAAAATACATAATAAAATTATTTTTTTAATACAGCTAAAACAGGCAAAGTATATATTTTAAGTTCTTTAATATATCACATGTTAGTTTCCTTAAATAAGGTACTTTTAAAAATAACACACTATATAGACATGCGACAATTTAAAATAAAACAGTTTTTTACGACAATTTTTGTGAGAAAAAAATGACTAATTTTACCTTAAAAACAGTTTTCAGGAAACTTTTGGTCTTAAATCTAGAAATTAACATTCCCTGAGCTTAGAACACTTAATAATCTAAAAAAAACATAAAATAAAGACAAAAATAGTGACATAAAATGATCTGACAATCCCAAACGTCTCAGTTTTTAATATTTCCCATTATAAGGTAACACAGCTTAATTTTTTGGAACGTTCCAAAGTATTATAACACGCAATTTATAAATGTAGAAAAATGATCCCATGAAAGAATTAATAAAATTGCATTTGCCTGGCAAAATTAATTTTACATACATACAAAGGGAATAAGAACTTTGAGAGTGGAAACAATCTTGTAATCGCGTTTCATTTTCTTTTGGAACATGGAAGTTTACAAATTTGCCGCTGGAACGTCAGCATATCGAAGTTGTTGGAACATTCTAAGACTTAAGATTGAGATTTTTAACGCATTTGCTTGGAACGTTCTAAAAGACGATTTATGAACATTTCAACGATATTGCATGTTTTTTGTAAATAGCGCGATGAAAAAAAAATTGTTGGAACGGCGCGGCGTTTCAACTTTTTGGAATGTTCTAAAATGTGATTTAAGAACATTTCGACATTTTTGCGATGTTTTTTTGTAAATAACGACGACAAAATGTAGGAATGGCGGTTCAACTTTCTGGAACGTTCTAAAATACAATTTAAAAACATTTCAACGTTATTGCAATGTTTTGTGTAAATGACAATGAAAAAAAATCGTTGGAACGGCGTTTCAACTTTTCGGAATGTTCTAAAATGTGATTTAAGAACATTTCGACGTTATTGCGATGTTTTTCTGTAAATAACGACGAAAAAAATGTAGGAATGGCGTTTCAATTTTCTGGAACGTTCTAAAACACGATTTAAGAACATTTTAACGATATTGCGATGTTTTGTGTAAATGACAATGAAAAAAAATCGTTGGAACGGCATTTCAAATTTTTGGACTGTTCTAAAATATGATTTAAAAACATTTCGACGTTTTTGCGATGTTTTTTTGTAAATAACGAGGAAACAAATGTAGGAATGGCGTTTCAACTTTCTGGAACGTTCTAAAATACGATTTAAGAACATTTCAACGATATTGCGATGTTTAGTGTAAATGACAATGAAAAAAAAAATCGTTGGAACGGCGTTTCAAATTTTTGGAACGTACTAAAATGTGCTTTAAGATCATTTCAACGTTATTGCGATGTTTTTTTGTAAATAACGACGAAAAAAATGTAAGAATGACTTTCAACTTTCTGGAACGTTTTAAAATACGATTAAAGAAAATTTCAACGATATTGCGATGTTTTGTGTAAATGACAATGAAAAAAATCGTTGGAACGACGTTTCAAAATTTTGGAACGTTCTAAAATGTGATTTAAGATCATTTCAACGTTATTGCGATGTTTTTTGTGAATAACGACGAAAAAAATGTAGGAATGGCGTTTCAACTTTCTAAAACGTTCTAAAATACGATTTAAGAACATTTCAACGATATTGCATGTTTTTGTAAATAGCGCGATGAAAAAAAAATTGTTGGAACGGCGTTTCAAATTTTTGGAATGTTCTAAAATGTGATTTAAAAACATTTCGACGTTTTTGCGATGTTTTTTTGTAAATAACGACGAAAAAAATATAAGAATGGCGTTTCAACTTTCTGGAACGTTCTAAAATACGATTTAAGAACATTTCAACGATATTGCGATGTTTTGTGTAAATGACAATGAAAGAAAAAATCGTTGGAACGGCGTTTCAAATTTTTGGAACGTTCTAAAATGTGATTTAAGATCATTTCAACGTTATTACGATGTTTTTTTGTAAATAACGACGAAAAAAATGTAAGAATGGCGTTTCAACTTTCTGGAACGTTCGAAAATACGATTTAAGAACATTTCAACGATATTGCATGTTTTTGTAAATAGCGCGATGAAAAAAAAATTGTTGGAACGGCGTTTCAAATTTTTGGAATGTTCTAAAATGTAATTTAAAAACATTTCGACGTTTTTGCGATGTTTTTTTGTAAATAACGACGAAAAAAATATAAGAATGGCGTTTCAACTTTCTGGAACGTTCTAAAATACGATTTAAGAACATTTCAACGATATTGCGATGTTTTGGGTAAATGACAATGAAAGAAAAAATCGTTGGAACGGCGTTTCAAATTTTTGGAACGTTCTAAAATGTGATTTAAGATCATTTCAACGTTATTGCGATGTTTTTTGTAAATAACGACGAAAAAAATGTAGGAATGGCGTTTCAACTTTCTGGAACGTTCTAAAATACGATTTAAGAACATTTCAACGATATTGCATGTTTTTGTAAATAGCGCGATGAAAAAAAATTGTTGGAACGGCGTTTCAAATTTTTGGAATGTTCTAAAATGTGATTTAAAAACATTTCGACGTTTTTGCGATGTTTTTTTGTAAATAACGACGAAAAAAAATGTAGGAATGGCGTTTCAACTTTCTGGAACGTTCTAAAATACGACTTAAGAACATTTCAACGATATTGCATGTTTTTGTAAATAGCGCGATGAAAAAAAATTGTTGGAACGGCGATTCAAATTTTTGGAATGTTCTAAAATGTGATTTAAAAACATTTCGACGTTTTTGCGATGTCTTTTTGTAAATAACGACGAAAAAAAATGTAGGAATGGCGTTTCAACTTTCTGGAACGTTCTAAAATACGATTTAAGAACATTTCAACGATATTGCATGTTTTTGTAAATAGCGCGATGAAAAAAAATTGTTGGAACGGCGTTTCAAATTTTTGGAATGTTCTAATATAGGTACTGGCTTTCCGTTGAAACATCCTAAACGTGAAAAATACGTTAGTCGGGTAGACTTTCGTCCTCTACCATCTCCGGATCGGAAGCCTCGTTTCCGCTGGACACGTAGGGCAGTCCGCTGTTGTCGGCCAGCTGCCTGAACAGCGCGTCCCTGAACCGGAACATGCTGATGCTCTCGTCGTTGAGCATGTTGTAGAGAACGAAGGCGTTGGTAGCGACCACGCTCGCTATGAGCTCCATGGCGACGCGCCCGTGCCACAGCGCCTCCTCGTAGGCCGCGCAACTCGGCACGCTGTGCTTTTCCGCGGCCAGGTAGTACTGGTGACAGCTGTACAGGTACCTTAGAAACCAGGGTACCACCTGAGCGGCGGTCGGGTTCGGATTGGAGGGCGTGATGGGATCCGGTTCGTGGTACGTCGTCAGACCAAAGTAGAACCGATCTGAAACGGGTTAAAAAAAATTTACCGTAAAATGGGGTGAATAGAAACAGTTTCGTAGGCTATTAGCGATATACCCGTTGATAAAAATGTGGTATTATTTTCCCGAATATTTTAAAACATGGGTCTTTGTTCTTTGCGTATACATATAATTTGATTTTTGAAAAATATGCATATAAATATTAAATAAAAATAACATTTGTGTTTCTATTCACCTGCTATTGGGGAGACTAGAAACACACATTGATGTTTAGGTTTTTATCTATTCTACTTCCAACAAAGTGATTAGAAACAGTAAATTATTACATATTTAAGTAGGTTTAACAATAAATAACAATACATATAATATGACAACTTACATGTACCAGCTTATGTATTACTTTAAAAACAAATATTTTATTTATAAAGTTTTCGCGCCATACAAAATAGGTGATAAATCGATCTCACATTTATTGATCAGCTGATTGACAGAAACAGTGCTGCCACAGATAAAAATATAGTTTTTACATTTTATTGTGTATTACCAATGATAGAAAAATTAGATATGTCGACTCTTTTTACTTTGAATATTTTTAATCGTGATTTGATTTTTTTTCAGAAATTTTGTTTCTATTCACCACTATGTTTCTATTCACCCCATTTTACGGTACTTAAGAGTCCATATGTCACTAGTCCGAAAAAGTAGCAAAATAAGCGTCCGGCATTTAAGGTTTTATGTAAAACTGGCTAGGTATTTTTACACAAATAAAAAAGGAAATTAAAGATAAAAGATTAAACTATATCCGTATTGTAGCACATTTTTAGAAAACTTCTTTATTTTTAAGATTTTGATGGTCAAACATCAACAAAATATTCCTTATCTTTGGACTAAGCGTGATCCTAATTATATTTAAAAAATTAAACATATATTTTTCAGTCATTTTGAAAAACCAGGGCAATAATTCCAAAATATGACCTTGTTCCAACATACAGTCTGACAAACGGACCTGAAACAACGGGGCAGCGGCAAGGGGATCGCAATTTTTTAAAATCATGACCGATTTCATTCATAAAACATCCACGAGCGTGCAGGGTTTCATAAAAATAAAGCAGGAATTTTTATAATATTTTCCAGTAAAGTTTATAATATTGTTTTACTTTAAATGTACCTACATTTTGTTTAGTCATTTGCCAAATATAGTAATATTTGTTAAGAAACGCGTGTACTAATTACAATAAACACAAATCAAGTTAAAGATATAAAACACAATACAATAACACCGCCACTGGATTTTTCAATAGTAGTGACTGTTTCTACTATTCCTAGAGAGGGGCATAAAGTTGGGGGTAATGGTAACAAGACGTGCGAGAATCTCGACCAATCAGACTGGTTGAATCCGGGATGCCATGATGAATTTTGTCAGCGTTGCCAGCTTACCCTAAGCGGACGTTATCTTAAGGAAATACTTTACCTTTTATAATAGGCAGAATGAACGAAATCAGTTAATTAGATAAATATACATTATTACAATAAGAACTACGTCAACATATTAGCATATATATAATTATGTATGCTGAAATGAACTAAAATATATTCAATTTATAGGTAATATCGAGCAACTCTGCTTTTCTATAATTAAACGTGACAACATCGACATTTTTTGCCCGAATTCCTTCCGCTGTTTTAGATTCGTTTGTCAGATAATATAGTTGTTAGGGCTCGTAATATCTTTAGTAATAATAAAATACGTACTACCACCTTTCGCCCTCTTGCCCTTCTGGAACCAGTTGAGCGCGCATATCCCGTCCAAACTCTGATATCCCGCCATCAGCGGCGAATCGGCGCCCAGCTGGTACAGCTCCTTGGGGGTGCCGCGCGACTTGGTCCTGATCATCCCGGCCAGGTACGTCTTCCTCCTCAGCAATTCCTTGGCCAAGTCCACCGACACGAAGGTGCCCTGCACGTTGACCACGCGGCCGACGTCCAGCAGCCCGTCCAGGCTGTTCAGGACGTGCTTCTTGGCCAGGCTCGGCCTGAGGGGCGCGGTCTCGCATTCCGGATGCTCCAGCTCGATGCGGTGCGTGTAGAGGTCCTTGTCCAGGACGCGGAGCATGCGGCAACCGCGCTTGGGACGCGTGCCGCGCTCGATGTAGCGGTACTTTTTCCGCAGGTAGATGGACGTCATGTAGACGTATAGGCCCCGGCCGGCGATTTTGTATTTTCTGGAAAGTAACCGGAAATGTGATTGTCCTAGAATTATTTAGGGCTTTTTTTTACTGGAATAAATAAATTTGAAACATAGACCGTAAACGAACTAGACAAACCGTAACCAAACGCAATTCTGTAGACATCACAAGCCGCATGTGACGTCACTTCAGGGCAAAATAGCTTTGCTGGCTTTGAAATGATAATCGATGACAGCGATTTTCATTTCCCAGCCAACTCTGACGCGTGATGTCGGTCATTTTAACTCAAAAATATTTTTTTTCTGTCATTATTTATAACGGCAAGATTTGCTTTTTTATAAATAAAAATAATAGTTTCTAAACATAGACCGTAAACTTATTTATGACACTCTGTATAGAACAAAACATTTTTTAAGATATACACTTTTATAAACCTTGCAGCATTTGTATAAAATCTTTTTTTCATATCTTTGTCAACGATAGTATTGGACTTCCACGCACTAGTGGACCACCCTGTATATTCCCTGGCAAGGTGGACGAATATACAACTGCCAGAAATTTTAAATTCTCTAGAAACGAACCCGAAAATAACATGTTTAAATTTTTTTACACATACAAACATAGACCATAGCCAACATAGACACGTTTTTCGATGAGGGACTGTGTAGTTATCATAAGACAAAAGTGACGTCACTGCATCGAGAAATTTGCGCTTTCTTTGCTAAAATACAGTCATTTTTTGTCAGTTATACTCTATCCAGCAAAAGAAAATAACAAGAAAAGTTGACTTTTTCCTGTAAATAAAAATGGTCTAAACCATAGACCGTAAAATATCCTAGACAAATTGTTTGTTGGCAGCGGTGAAGTAAACATTAATGAATAATACATACCTGAAATTTTCATTCAAACGATGCACGACCGGATTGATTTTAGCCAAGTAACTATCCGATCCATCCGTTCCAAAGTGCAGGAAAGTGATCAGTCTTTGAAATCGAGTCGGCGTCATTATCTTACATGCTACCGACGTCTCCCATACAGGATGTGTGCTCCAATACGCCATGAAATCTTGAAAATAAGACACACAAATATTTTTTTGGAATTAAAAACCGTTTTTTTAAGTTAGTTATTTTACCTGGAAACTTTGTCATGGACATATATATGATCAAACTGATGAATTCCTTCATTTCTCTCACATCCACGTCCATCCAACCGCTTAGAAAATCTTTATGGTATCCAGGCCTGATAAATTTCGATCTTGCATACCTAAAAATTAAATTTATAGTCCCAAAAACCTTCTAATAACTATTAAACACAGATCGAAAAAAAAAGCCCAACAGAAAATTTTTTCATCAAATTTATAGTGTTATATTTTTTTATTTTTAGCCCTATCTTCATGAACTTTTTAGTAAACTGTATACAGGGTGGCGCGATATGCGTAATTTAAAATTATTTTGAAATGTACAGGGTGTGTCAGAACTAAGATCCATACAACTTTACTTTTTAGGAGGTGTATCAAAAATTGCTGATCTATTTTAAATAAAATTAAAATCGCTTAAAATATTGATTAAAATCGCTTTTTATTCAAAATCTGAGCCCGATAGGCATAGGAAAACCTAATATAGTTTGAAAGAGCATTTAAATCTGCTTCGACTTATTTTAAAAAACATATAGTGTTGTATTTGAAATAAAGATTTTTTTATGTAAAGTAAATATTTAAAATAGACCAGCAATTTTTGATACCCCTGTATACATTTAAGGAAGCAATAAATTTTTTTAATAAAGTATATTTCTCTGGCTTCAAAGTCAGCACAAGAATTAACACTAAAAAGTAATGTACAGGGTGTTGACAAACTTATTTATTATATCATGCATATTTTTATATCTTTGAATATCTCAAAAACCAAAGCATTTAAACATATTAAAGTATTATAATAAATGCCTTATTTTATGCCCAAGAATCCAAAAATCAAATAAAATACCGGGTGTTCCATAAGAAAAAATATAACTTTGGTATGGATCTTTGTCCTGACACACCCTGTACATTGGAAAATAATTTTAAATTATGCACATTGCCTCTCTACATATACCCATTAAAAAATTTGTTTCCACATCTTTCCATTTTCGTATAATCAACCGAGGCGAATGAGGTGCGCCACCCTGTATAAATCTATATCTAGAGTTGGGATTTTGACCGTCAAAATCTTTTGTGGACAAAGCACCAGTCAAATTCTTTCGTGATTCTAAAAGAATAAAAGTAGGAGAAATTACATTTATACGTATATTAGTGATTAAAAAACAGTTAACAAAAACTAAAGAATACAACAAAACGAAACATTACATTAAATGATAATTAAATTTAAAAGTTTTATATAAAATTTAATATTAATTTAAATGTAAAGCGTGGTCCACACGCGGCGACTTATCGTACGATTTGTTTGCATTACATTAAATGATACAAAAAAGACAGTTACCGAACAAGACTAATAATTTTTAAACAAATATAAAACCATTCTGAGGTAACGAAAAAAAATGCATAATAGCAATAAAAAAATACTAATGAGTGGTGGTAGCACAGGCTAATCTAGACAAAGGAATCTCATCTTCATCACAGTCATCATTGAACTCACTGAGTCAACATTAAAACAGCAACTAACAATTCTTTCGCGTCGCGAGTGTTTTAGGCAAGTCCACAGAATATACTAACGAAAAAGAAGCCCAAGTTCCTTGTAATAAATCGGTTCCATTTTCGTAACGCCATCTCTCGACAAAGCTGACATTTACAGGTTAGCCAAAGGGGTGCGGGGCCGGGGGGAATTGTAAAATACACTTTTTGATTTTAATTATTTTTATTCGCTATTTGCAATTTTATTTTTAAAACATATTATCTGAAACAATCGCATAATATCTCTTAAAAATAAAATAACAAACGGAAACAAAAGGAATTAAATAATCTGAAAATCTACAAAGTTTATTGATAAAAAAGTTAGGCTATGCTCTTTGGTATAACATTGTTAAACAAACATTAACAAATCATAACATATCAGATCATAGAACTAAAAAAAGTACTATTACATAAAAACAGGTGATACAATACTTCAAAATTAATTTTAACATAATATCAAAACCGAAAAATCAAACTGCAAACACAACCACACTTATCACAACAGAAATTAACACACACTTCCGCGGCAAATGTCCAAGAAAGACTGATTGGTCCTGGTCCGGTCGTAGCTCACGTCGTATTGTCGGTAAGCAAAATCCCTGTCCAAAAATCTTTACGATCGGCGCCATCACCCGTCATAATTCGGAAACTTTTGCTGGAACCATTTTGAATATTTCACTTACATGGCCCTGGGCAAGTCAGTACCTGTTATTCGGTTTACGACAATTAAAAGATTTTGACCTGGCCTGGTCAAAATCTTTCCGGTCAAAATCTGTCAAAATCTCGGTCAATTGACCAAGCACAACTCTATCTATATCTATACTAATATCACAGTGTGTTATCTGTGCTAATATATAAAATCCTTAAGTGACTGACATACTGATTAATCACGATCCTGCTCAAACCACTCAACGTAAGAAGCTCAATTTTGGCATACAGGTTGATTCTAGGTTGTAGAGGTTCGATAAGAAAGGATTTTTCGAAATGCCAGTTCCAAGAGGGTGAAACCTGTGGTGAAACCACCCCTCAAATATTACAATATTTTTTATTTAAAAAACGGTCAAGTTTCCGAAAAAACGCTTAAACACGTATATTTTATTTTGTTTTTTTACATATTTTAAGATTTTTTAAAAATGTATACAGGGCGTTTCGAAAAATCTGGTCATTGATTAATACACGCTAGTATACAGGGTTGTTCACCACATACGACACGAAGTATTGTAGCTAAACGACTAGATTTTTACAAATTGTAAGTTTTGGATTCGTTGAAGGACTATTAGAGCTACAATTTAAAAATATTTTTACAAAATACAGAGTGTCCCAAATAAATAAAAAATATCAAAGTTTTATTTTTTTAAATGGAACACCCTATATATTATTACATTTTTAGTTTCTACGCTTAAAATAAACGTAAATTTGATTAAGGTTTATTACACTTAAACCTTACCGTTTTTGAAATATTTTCAATTTTGTGAAATTGCAGTATAAATTTTAAGGCTTCATTTCTCCGAGGGTATCAAAGTTTTTATTACTAAATATTTACTGAAGTTTATTTATTGATCAGTTATTGTGTTGCAATAATAAAAACTTTACTACCTTATACAGAGTGTCTAAAAATTAATTTTAAATAATTACTAGCTTTAAACGGCAATAATTTGTTTAATTTAAATGGAACACCCAGTATATTTTATGAGATTCAGATGCACAATTTAATTGTCTATCAAATTGTATTACTATTTTTTACCTATCTCTTCAAGTTTCCGTAGAAAATGAATTTTCTTGTAATTTAGAACCCATTTATCAATATACCCATGGAATACTGACATTTTAGATTATTTCTAAAGATGACCCAAATTTTTAAAGAGTACAGATACTAATATTGTCGATATAGTTCGTTTATTTCATTAAAAAAACTGTTTAAATATTTGTTAAAGAGGACCAATTAATATGATTCCAGTATTCAAACTACATTAATTGACTGTTTGCGTTGATTAATAATAATTGCTCCAAATACTAAAAAACTGAATTATGTATGTGTATTAGACAGTGTGTTAAAAAGTAACACTTTAAAAATGATATTTCATTTTTCGACAAATACCTATTTATAACAACAGAGACGTTCATTTTCATAACTTATTATTATATTGATTTCTGATTCAAATCCACATTTATTTAGAATAATTTATTAACGAACACAATTAAGTATGTAATTAATTAGTATTTGGGCGGAAATACTGGTGGTATATTTAATTAATAGTATACTCTTTTATAAAGATTTAAATAGTTTTCTTTTTGCATACAAATGGGCTAGTAATATTATCGTTTTACTAAAAACGATAATATTACTAGCCTGTACATTTTCTACATTTGTTGTGTTAAAAACAATCTAAAATGTCAATATTCCATGGGTACATTGATAAATGAGGTCTAAATTATAAGAAAATGCATTTTCTACGAAAACTTGAAGGAATAGGTAAGAAGTGGTAAAATACAATTTGATAGACAATTAAATTGTGCATCTGATTCTCATAAAATATACAGGGTGTTCTATTTAATGTAAATAAGTTATTGCCGTTTAAAGCTTGTAATTATTTAAAATAAAATTTTAGACACTCTGTATAAGGTAGTATAATTTTTATTATTGCAACACAATAACTGATCGATAAATAAACTTCAGTAAATATTTAGTATTAAAAACTTTGATATCCTCGGAGAAATGAAGCCTTAAAATTTATACTGCAATTTCGCAAAATTGAAAATATTTCAAAAACGGTAAGGTTTAAGTGTAATAAACCTTAATCAAATTTACCTTTATTTTAATCGTAGAAACAAAAAATGCAATAATATACAGGGTGTTCCATTTAAAAAAATTCAACTTTGATATTTTTTATTTAGTTGGGACACTCTGTATCTTGTAAAAATATTTTTAAATTGTAGCTCTAATAGTCCTTCAACGAACCCAAAACTTCCAATTTGTAAAAATCTAGTCGTTTAGCTACAATACTCCGTGTCGTATGTGGTGAACAACCCTGTATACATAAACATAAACTTTAATTCGTACACTCGGGTTTTTTATAGACTTTAGTGTATCAGTGTATATAGAGTGAATTAAAAAAACTCACTTGTTCGTTTCTTGGACCATCAAATCAATTAATTCATCATCCCAGAATAATTTAAAACAATCCAAAGCAGAATATCCACTTTCTGGTCTTAAATTTTGAAGGCCTGGCTCAACCTCGAAAGGAAACTTGGTGTAAATTTTATACAGGGTGTTCCAGCTGTATTTAGGTTTTTTTCGCAAAGGCGACGCCGTCTCGTCCCGTTCCATACCCGTATCTTCTTCCTAAGAAATACATCGTACTAAGAGTCGTGTGTTATAGTGTGAGTTAGATATAAAACTATAAAAAATTATAAAAAGAAAAAATTATAATTAAGAAAATTACTAACTTGAGTCTCATCTGGACTCACTGTATCTGAGCAGTTCATTAAGAAGTTTAGCGGATTATCATCTTCATCAAACTCTTTTGTAACAAGCAATTCGGGACTGTCTGGTGGGTCTCCCTCTGGTTCAGGCGGTCGACTAAAACAAGAACGTACGTTATTTAATTTCTGGAGCAACCTGAGACAATATCTATTACTTTTCGTCCAGTACAAAGTCCTCTTCCATGGGTAAGGGGGGAGTATATCTCCCCGAACCTGAGGGTCCAGCTTCCATCGGGTCTTAAAAAAAGAATCATTCATTCAAAGATTGATTTGCAGGAAAAAAAGCTTAAAAAATTGAATTTTAAATGAAAATTGCGTTTCTCGAACTTACCAGACATCTCGTACCAGGCAAATGCTAGGTATTTGGTCGTTTCATCATAAAAAATCAAATACCGGCAAAAAACTTGGAGTAAATTCGTAAATATAACCATAAAACTATTGGAATGTTTTGCAGGAACCGAAATAAACAGGGAAAAAACAGTAAACCTGTGGCTGGAGGATACCAAATTGTTTTAGGAGATAACAGAATAAATATTGTATACTTTTATTAAACTGTTAACGAAAATTTCCCCATAAAAACATTGAATTTGATGTTTTACGAAAAGTAAACAACCTTTTTATATAAAAATATTACATTACGGATTGCGCAACCATAGATGAATATTTCCCATTTGTTGCGCGCTTGTATAACTGGTTATCTAACTTCGAAGCACAGAAACTGGAAATTTAAATATAAAAAATCTTTAAAAATTGCTAAATTTTCTAGCTCATCTTATTTTTGACTTCGACATTTAGTTCCTTTTTTTCCTTTAACCTTATACGTAGTTTTTATAACTTAATTTTGTTAAAATCTCCTACTAATGAGAGAACAATTTTCTTATTAAAAGTCGCTTCCTTTCATAAATTAAAATGTACACAGATTAAAGAAAAATTCTAAAAGAAAAGATTATTTATAGATATTTTTATTTATATGTAAAAAACCCTAGTAATTTTATTAAATTGGGTAGATTGTGTAATTTTCTGTATTTCCCATAATTTAGTGTATGTATAACCGGTTATCTACCATTTAGGAGTATTAATTTAAATTAAACAAAAATAAAATTCTGCGAAATTTAAAATAAATGTTATTATAAATAATTTAATGGGTATTGTATTCTTTTTGAAATTTTTTAAAAATAATTTTAAGAATATATTCGTCTGTTTTGAGTGAAGGGTTGCTCTTTTAGGGGGTGAATCATACTTACGAAAAATCAATAGAGCAGGATATGAATAGAGCGTGGTATATTCAGTGTGCTTACAAGCAGGAATCAGCAGAACTGATTTAAAAACAGTAAATAAAGAAATAAAAAGGCATTAAATCAAAAATAATGTTGCCAGAATCTGAAAGTTACGCTGTTTTACATCATAAATCATATAAAGTACACCCAGACAGCTTCAGGTAAGCTTACATTGATTTTAAAATTATATTTTTGGTAAAATTGATAATAAAATTAATAAATAAAATATAATAGTTGGAAATAAAGCTTCTGTTCCTTTTAATTTAGAAGTATTCAGTTATATTTTATTAAAATATTTTTAATTTTCGTTTGGGTTGAAAGTATATAAAAATGATTTCAGAAAAAAAAATGAATGGAAAAAGGCCAAAAGGAAGACTTCGAGGAGCCGCTCCAAGCAAAAAAGAATTGAATTGCTCTACGAGAACGATATTCAGTCAGCTCCTGAGATAGAGCTACCTTTAAATGCTTCAGCTTTTGCAGTTTTTGCCTCAATTCGACTTGCAGTACTAGACCGGTAGGAATTTCTGATTTCTAAATGTACTTATTTGAAAGTCTCCAGTAGGTTCAACTTCGTGTATATTATGCAATTTAAACAGAATAGAATTCTAGGCCATCCTGTATACCGGGTATTGCATCGTCGACCGGGACATAGGAAATCCCATGTAAATTTTAATGGGGTCAATTTTTGGCTTCCCTAATTATTTTAGAGAATAATTCTATTTAGGTTTATTGAAGAGCACTAAAACCCACATTCAAAAGAATAACTTTAGATATTTTTGATTAGCCCGTTTACGAGTTATCGCCCGATTATTTTTTAAATATTTCTCCTTTCTTATGGCCCTGTATTTATTTATGAGCACCAGTCAAGGTAAAAGATAACTGTCAAATGATGTTGTCATTTCAGAAATTTATCTATTTAGTGCTTTATTATTAAGTAATTTATTATATACTAAAGTCCGAAAAATGAAAATGGCGCATTTCCGCAGGAAAATTTTTGTATATTTGTACTCCTAACGCCTTGTAGAACGGATATATAAAGTCATTTTTTATATAACAGATTTCAGCTAAACGAAAGTGGAGCCAAACACTATATTGAGTGTTTTTCTGTTGTTAATAATTCATTTTTATTATAATTATGTATTTTTTGGTTTAAGATGGATGAGAAATGCTACTCATGAGCACCTTCAAAGCAGCTGTAACGTCCAAATAGCTGACCAGAGCGAATATGAAAGCGATACAGAAGATAATACTCAGAGCAGTACCTATGTCCCTGTCAAAGTCTCCAAAGTAGTGGGTCTAGGTAGGTATAACAAGATTTCTTTAAATATATATAACGTCTTTGAGTACCATAAAACAAAATATTTGTTCTGTAGGTTTAAGATCCGTTTTTGAACTAATCAAAGAAAGCAGATCCTCGCATCCAGTACTCTGTACCAAAGCTTTACTGGCTCTCCTGGACGTTCTACAAGGTAGTACTTTAATTACACCCTAATTTTTGTTAATTTAAATCAATTTTTCTTTCAGGACAAACACCAGAAGGTTTAAAATCCGAACCACCAGACATAATCGATCCACTTTTCGAGCTTTTACTGGATTTGGCAACGTTGCACGGGCCGGAAAGCGCAGTACCTAATGACGGTACGCACCTGACTGCAGTGGCGTGCGCGTGCCTTTTGTCCTTGGTCGTTGTGAGGGGGGATACGGGGAAGTACCTGAGCGCAGCGGCGGCGCTACTGATGTGTCCTCGGGCATTTTCCGTGCAAAATATTAAGGTAAACATATTTTAGTAGAATTATGTTTTCCCCTATATTTATCTATACTAATATATAAAATCCTTAAGTGACTGACTCACTGATTGATGAGGAGGGTTGTTCCTCGTAGGGAGGTGGAGGGATTTGGAGGTTGAGGTTGCCCAGTTCTTCGTAGAGATGAGCTTCTTCCTCTCTGAAATTATTTCAAAATCAAACAAGGCTTTTTTTATTAATCTATACTAATAATATAAATCCTTAAGTGACTCACAGATTAATCACGATCCTACTCAAACCACTCAACGTAAGAAGCTCAATTTTGGCATACAGGTTGATTCTAGGGTGTAGAGGTTCGATAAGAAGGGATTTTTCGAAATTCCAGTTCCAAGGGGGTGAAACCACCCCTCTCAAATATTACAATTTTTTTATCTAAAAAACGGTCAAGTTTCCGAAAAAACGCTCAAACACGTATCGTATAATTTATTTTGTTTTTTTACATATTTTAAGATTATAAAAATATATACAGGGTGTTTCGAATGTATATGGTGTATACAGGGTGTTTCGAAAAATCTGGTCATTGTTTAATCACGATCCTGCTTAAAGTGCTTGACGTAAAAAGCTGATTTTTAGAAAACGGATTGACTTTAGGGTGCAGAGGTTCGATAAGAAGGGATTCTTCGAAACTTGAATTCTAAGGGGGTGAAACCACCCCTCAAATATTAGAATATTTTTTATTTAAAAACCGGTGAGTTTTTCGGAAAAACTCTTAAACACGTATATTTTATTTTGTTCTTTTATATATTTTAAGATTTTTTAAAAATTTATACAGGGTGTTTCATAAAATATGACCAATGAGTAATCACGATTCTGCTTAAACTGCTTGACGTTTAAAGCTGATTTGTGGCAAACGGATTGACTGTGGCGTGTAAAGGTTCGATAAGGAGGGGTTTCTCGAATTTCAAATTCCAAGAGGGTGAAAACGCCCCTCAAATATTACAATATTTGTTATTTAAAAAAACGGTTAGTCTTTCGGGAAAACGCTTAAACACGCATAATTTATTTTGTTTTTTACATATTTTGAAATTTTTTTAAAAATCATACAGGGTGTTTTTGATTAACCACGATTCTGCTTAAACTGCTTGACGTAAAAAGCTTATTTTTGGCAAACGGATTTTTCGAAAGTCAAATTCCAACGAGATGAAACTACCCCTCAAATATTACCAAGTTATATAATAATATCGCCATATTGTTTTTTCTCATGCTGACATAAATGTGAGAAAATTTTATCCAGTTTGTATGTTAATGGAAATTCTTGCTTTGTTTTATCATCGCCATTACTAAGTCGCGGGTACACGCTAGTTTAATATATTTTTTTCAAGATGCCGGCAGTTTTATCGTCTCTTCAACGAAGCATTCATGGCGTTTTACTAGGGAAAATGGTACGACCCGATTGGCTAACTCACGGAGTACCGATTTCATCGAAAATAAGCTCGTTTTTCGTTAAGGTACCAACAGAAATACAAAACGTTCCTCTCGTTTTGAAGTCTTTGGCGTTCGATGGACAGTACTTGTACCTTTTCACGTCAAAGGGTTTGTTTAAGATTGGCAGTGGATATGGGGGTACCGTCAAGGGATTCGTGGCCATGTGGAAGCCAGAGTTCTATCCAAACGATAGTGGTACTTTGGTATTCTGTTCCGTGAGTATTTCTTTGATGTTCTTTAAAATTGTGACTGAAAAAAATGTGTTTTTAGGGAAAATTGTTTTTGAAACTAAATGGAAGAAGAGGTGCCGAATTTTTGATTGTTGAACGCTCTAACTTGATGATATCCGGTGCTGTATCTTTGCATTCCAGAGATATGCCATCATCAGTGATATTCTCTGATGGGGATTATTTAGGAACAATTTCTGCTGCCAAAGACGTAAGTTTTTTCTCTATTTCTTAGGGTTCCGTACCCAAAGGGTAAAAACGGGAACCCTATTACTAAGACTATCCGTCCGTCCGTCCGTCACAAATGTCTATCTTATGAACCGTTATAGCTAGACAGTTGAAATTTTTACAGATAATGTATTTATGTTGCCGCTATAAGAACAAATACTAAAAACAGAATTAAATAAATGTTTATAAATAAAAAAGTACTTTCAAGTCCTCGGTGGCCGCGTGGTTAAAACGTTAGGACTTTACGCTGCTATGACGTTGGAGCCGTTGCAAGGCAGGTTCGAATCCTAGTCAAGGCGACTTTTTTTATCCGTTTTTTTTAATTTTTACATATTTATTTTTACTTTTTACATATTTATTATTGATTAATACAATTTTTAGTAATGTGTTTCTTCATTTTTTCGGAAAAAAAGTTTATAATACTATAGTGCCTAATGTTGTATAGATAATGAATGGTACGGAACCCTTCGTGCACGAGTCCGACTCGCACTTGACCAATTTTTTGTATTCTTATTTCTTTTTTTTCTCTATTTTTATTTTATATATTTTTTTATTTTTCTCTTCTCTTTTTTTTTCTTCTCTATTTTAGACACTTTCTGCAATATTTTATTTAGAAATGAACGAAGATTTTGAAAATAATATTTATTTTAAGAGAAATCAATGGCGTACCATTTTTTTCTTCAAAAATATTCAGTGTATATAACCCGTATGGACGTTTGTACATCAAAAACGACATTTTGATGCATAGAAGACGTTTCAATTTTCATAAAGATGTCTGTAATAACGTCAGAATTATTTTTTTAGACAATTTTACTACTCTGTGTCTGATGAAAAGTTAACACGTTTAGGACATACGTACAGGGTGGGTCAAATTCGACGCTTTTAAATGAAAACACCATTTTCTGTAGGAGATAGACAAAAACTAATATCGGTGTCTGGAGCTCAATTTTTGTCAAAAACAAGATGTTGAAAACCGCATATCGATATCTGTTACCGTTTCGGAGTTACGGGGTGTTTTTCAAAAATATGCATTTTTAACAAATCGCTGTAACTTTTCTGCTATGGAAAATTTTGTATTTTTATGAAAACATTTCCAAAGCACATTTTTACGTAGAATTTAATGGTTTAAGTATAATTTTTTTAAAATTAATAATTTAAGAATTATCAACAGAAAATTTTATTTTTTATATGTGACACTCTATATATTTTTAATTTATTGAAAATAATTTAAAATTACCTTTCCAAAAATATAACATACTTGATATTTTGCGAGATATCGAGTATACAAAAATTCGCCCGCTTTAAATAAGTAGGCTTTGAACGGCACCGGCTGTAATGCAAAAAAATTCTAGCTGTGAGCATCAATTAAAACGAAAATAATATTTGCTATGAGAGATGCAGAATTTTATAACAATTTAAAATATATTTAACCAACATCAACACATTTAATCTATATCTAATAACAATAAAAATAAATAGCAAACCAAAACATGAGATTTTGCTATAGGTGTTCGACATATCGACCGTCTTCTGTTATGGACAGACGGGGCAGTTTTTGAACATTTCTCGCGGAATTCATTAACTCGGTGGGGGTGAAAGATACCCTCTTATAACTGCTAAATATTTCTAATTCTTGTCTAGATTATACGGCGGAATAAGGAACCTTTATTTTTCCGCCGATATATTCATAGGGTTAGATCCATGGGCACTAAGTCAGGCGGCCTCGATGGCCAACGGATGGGATCTTGGTTAGATATTAAATTATTTTTGAAATTGGCTGCAAAAATTTGCTGATAACTTCAGCGTTCAGAGGCGGTGCGTCGTCTTGCTGGAAAAATATGTTTTCGAGTTCCATTAAGGGCATATCATCAATAAGGGGTCCAAAGCCTACTAGTTAAAAGTGGCGAACTTTTAAAAATTCTGTATTTCGAAGGGGATTATAACAAAATATCAAGTGTGCTATATTCTTGGAAAGGTAATTTTAAATTCTTATCAGTTAATTAAAAATATAGTGGGTGTCCTCTAAATTTAAAAAATGTAAAATTTTCCATAGGAAAAAAGTTACAGCGATTTGTTAAAAATGCACATTTTTGAAAAACACCCGGTAACTCCGAAACGGTAGAAGATATTGATGTGCGGTTTTCACCATCGTGTTTTTGATGAAAATTGAGCTCCAGACACCGATATTAGTTTTCGTCTATCTCCTATAGAAAAGGGTGTTTCCATTTAAAGCCGTCGAATTTGACCCACCCTGTACATCCAAATGATTTTTTTTCTTAGAATAGGCTCAAGAATCATCCCCTCATTTATTAACATATGTCATTAGAGCACAGCCTGTATATCACTATTTTTTTAATCTCAAGGATGGATTCGTTGTGAGACTGTTGAATCAAAACACAACACCAGCTTCCCTAGTGAGTGAACTGCCTCTAAAACTAGCCAGGAAGTATGTGGACTCCTTGGGATGCGCTTCCTTCGAAGAGGAGGCCAATTCCTACACCATCAACATCAGTTCCGAGGAGGAAGTGTCCATGGTGTGTGGAGGAAAGGATTTTGGACTCTTGAGAACTGTCATGGGAAAGGTAGGTTCCTATAGGTATATTCTCAAGACTTGCAAGAGTCTTGCAACAAGACCAAGGAAGTCTTGCTTTGCTCATCACTATGGATCATTAAGATAAACATATTTTAGGTTATGTATACGGGAAAATCTTCGGCTATAGGAATTAAACAGGCGGGTGTACGTACCGGAAAATGGTCAGAGCTGGTACTAACCAAATCACCCAAAATTTCCCATATTGCGATGGGTCATGATGGTCTACATGCAGTACTTATTACCGATGATGGTGCAGTATTCTTTGCCGGTAAATAGTGATAAAAAATGCTTTTTTTAAGTTTAGCCCAAATAAATGTTTTTTAGGGTTCCGTACCCAAAGGGTAAAAACGGGAACCCTATTACTAAGACTTTGCTGTCCGTCCGTAAGGTCTATCTTATGAACCGTTATAGCTAGACAGTTGAAATTTTCACAGATAGTGTATCTATCTTGCCGCTATAATAAGAACAAATACCAAAAACAGAATTAAATAAATGTTTATAAATAAAAAAGTACTTTCACTAAACATTATCTTTTAAGTAAGAATTTTACATAGAATCTTTCAAGTCCTCGGTGACTCGGTGGTTAAAGGCGTTAGGACTTTACGGTGCTTTGTCGTTGGAGTCGTAGTAAGGCAGGTTCGAATCCTAGTCAAGGCGACTTTTTTTAATCGTTTTTTTAATTTTTATATATTTTTATATATTTATTTTTACTTTTTACATATTTATTATTGATTAATACAATTTTTAGTAATGTGTTTCTTTATTTTTTTTAAATTACTTATACGCGCATTCAAAAAAGTTTATCATAATATAGTGTCTAATGTTGTATACAGGATGTTTCAAAACAAATACGAAAAACTTCAGGGGGCGATTCCTTGTTCAAAATAAAGGGTAGTTTGCTTCATAAACTTTGGGTCAAAAGTCAACCATTAGGGAGATATCGCGGTAAAAAGATGGCGGAAAAATAATGCTTTTATTTTTTTTCTCGAAAACGAAAAGAAATAGACTAATGACATTTTATGGGAGCATTATGAAAATACACTTTCTGGTAATTTTTTCACTTTTTTAAAACGAGTGGAAGGGGTTGAAATAAACTACCCCTATCATTCTTGTTAACGAAATTTAAAGAAAAATCTTATCAAACACATGCAAGAAAAATAATTTGGATAGCTTGGTTTGTTTAGAAACTTTTTTATCTCTTGTGTTTCTTTGATAAAACTTGCTAATTTGAAATTAAAAAATAAAATGTAAAGCATTACATGTCAGGATAAAAAACATTTTTAGATAAAGAATCTAGTGATAATAACGATAATAATAAGAATCTAGATAATAACGTATTGCAGTAGAGTAATGTCAATACAATAATATTAAAAACATCCTAAAAAGTGACAGCGGCCGACTAGATTTTTTCCTAAAAAAATTAGAGCAGGCCACTAGATTCTTTGTCTAAAAATGTCTTTTGTCCTGACATGTAATGCTTTACATTTTATTTTTTAATTTCAAATCGGTGAGTTTTATCAAAAAAATACAAGAGATAAAAACGTTTCTAAACAAACTAAACTATCCAAATTAATTTTTTTGCACGTGTTTGATAAGCTTTTTTTTAAATTTCGTTAACAAGAATGAAAGGGGTAGTTTATTTCAACCCCTTCCACTCATTTTAAAAAAGTGAGAAAATTAGAAAGTATGTTTTCATAACAGTAATGCTTCCATAAAATCATTCATCATTAGTCTATCGTTTTTCGTTTTCAAGATAAAAAATAAAAACATTATTTTTCCGCCATGTTTGTACCGCGATATCTCCCTAATGGTTGACTTTTGACCCAACGTTTATAAAGCAAACTACCCTTTATTTTGAACAAGGAATCACCCCCTGAAGTTTTTCGCATTTGTTCTGAAACATCCTGTAGATAATGAATGGTACGGAACCCTTCGTGCGCGAGTCCGACCCGCACTGCTTGACCAATTTTTTTAAAGATCATTCTTTGACTTTTTTATTTAAAAATTACATAATGTGTCAATTCTGCCTGTTTCAGTCATTGGCTGACTCAAAATCTGGCCGTTTTAAGTAAAAACGAGACAAAACTAAAATTATTTTTCGGTACTGCTTTAGGTACTGCGCGAAGGGGTGAAGATGGTGACCAGAACAAACTGAGACGCCAGGCTAAGCCGGTAAAACCGAAAAAAATGATCAAAGTTGATGGAATCCATATAGTTACCGGTGCTTGCAACAATGGTACTACTGCTTTGGTCACTAGAGATGGAGAATTGATGATGTTTGGCAAAGATACCGCTCATACTGACGTTTCTACAGGTTAGTATTTTTCTTATTTTGTATTCTTCCCGAAAAACTGAAATTTTTAAATATCTATGGAAACAAAAAACTATATGATCGAAAAAAAACGGCGTCAAAGAAGGCTGGGGGAATAAGAATCGATAATAATTTTGGAGAGGTCAATCTCTAACGACATTTAAAAATAATTTTTACTCAATACAAAAATAAATTAAAAACAGTAAAGAAAAGTATGGGCCAAGTCTAGGGCTTAACCTCGCTAAAATTATTATCGATTTTCAGTCATTAGCCGTCCTCGACGCCGTTTTTTTTTGATTGTATAGTTTTTATCGGTTTAGGGATATAATTTTCGGTTTTATCCATAATTTTAGGAGTTGTCCAAGGTTTAAAAGGGGAATTCGTGACACAGGTTGCTCTAGGAAAGGCTCACGCCATAGCCTTAACTTCCAAAGGCCATGTCTATACCTTTGGGATAAACAACAAGTTCCAGTGTGGCAGAGATTTTATGAAACCTTCCAATAAAGAAGGTGATTAATCTTATTCCAGAATTTTTTCATAAAGTGCGCGTATAACATCTACATTTTACACCCTGTATATATAGGGTTGTTCACCACATACGACACGGAATATTGTAGCTAAACGATTAGATTTTTACAAATTGTAAGTTTTGGGTCCGTTGAAGGACTATTAGAGCTACAATTTAAAAATATTTTTACAAGATACAGAGTGTCCCAAATGAATAAAAAATATCAAAGTTGTATTTTTTTTAAATGGTACACCCTGTATATTATTACATTTTTAGTTTCTACGATTAAAATAAAGGTAAATTTGATTCAGGTTTATTACACTTAAACCTTACCGTTTTTGAAATATTTTCAATTTTGTGAAATTGCAGTATAAATTTTAAGACTTCATTTCTCCGAGGGTATCAAAGTTTTTAATACTAAATATTTACTGAAGTTTATTTATTGATCAGTTATTGTGTTGCAATAATAAAAATTTTACTATCTTATACAGAGCGTCTAAATATTTATTTTAAATAATTATTAGATTTTAACGGCAATAACTTGTTTAATTTAAATGGAACACCCTGTATATTTAATGAGAATCAGATGCAGAATTTAATTGTCTATCAAATTGTTTTATACCATTTTTTACCTATCTCTTCAAGTTTCCGTAGAAAATGAATGTTCATGTAATTTAGAACTCATTTATCAATATAGCCATGGAATACTGACATTTTAAATTATTTTTAAAGATGTACCAAATTTTTAAAGAGTACAGATACTAATATTGTCGATATAGTTCGTTTATTTCATTAAAAAATAAAAAAACTGTTTAAATATTTGTTAAAGAGGACCAATTAATATGATTCCAGTATTCAAACTACATTAATTGACTGTTTGCGTTGATTAATAATAATTGCTCCAAATACTAAAAAACTGAATTATGTATGTGTATTAGACAGTGTGGTAAAAAAAAACTAACACCTTAAAATGATACTTCATTTTTTGACAAATGCTTATTTATAACAACAGAGACGTTCATTTTCATAACTTATTATTATATTGATTTCTGATTCAAATCCACATTTATTTAGAATAATTTATTAACGAACACAATTAAGTATGTAATTAATTAGTATTTGGGCGGAAATACTGGTGGTATATTTAATTAATGGTATACTCTTTTATAAAGATTTAAATAGTTTTCTTTTTGCATACAAATGGGCTAATAATATTATCGTTTTACTAAAAAGGATAATATTACTAGCCTGTACATTTTGTACATTTGCTGTTTTAAAAACAACCTAAAATGTCAATATTCCATGGGTATATTGATAAATAAGGTCTAAATTATAAGAAAATGCATTTTCTAAGAAAACTTGAAGGGATAAGTAAAAAGTGTTATAATACAATTTGATAGACAATTAAATTGTGCATCTGATTCTCATAAAATATACAGTGTGTTCTATTTAAATTAAACAAGTTATTGCCGTTTAAAGCTAGTAATTATTTAAAATAAATTTTTAGACACTCTGTATAAGGTAGTAAAATTTTTATTATTGCAACATAATAACTGATCAATAAATAAACTTCAGTAAATATTTAGTATTAAAAACTTTGATACCCTCGAAGAAACGAAGTCTTAAAATTTATACTGCAATTTCACAAATTGAAAATATTTCAAAAACGGTAAGGTTTAAGTGTAATAAACCTTAATCAAATATATCTGTATTTTAATCGTAGAAACTAAAAATGCAATAATATACAGGGTGTTCCATTTAAAAAATACAATTCTGATATTTTTGATTTATTTGGGACACTCTGTATCTTGTAAAAATATTTTTAAATTGTAGCTCTAATAGTCCTTCAACGAACCCAAAACTTCCAATTTGTAAAAATCTAATCGTTTAGCTACAATACTCCGTGTCGTATGTGGTGAACAACCCAGTATATTTTTATATATTTTAGGCAATTCTTCACACATAATCGCTATGGATACATGCTCGGCTCAAGAAGAACAAGAGTACTACGAAGAAATTGATACAAATCCCAAAGAATCAGATAACAGAGCTAGTTTTTCCGAGGGTAACATCGGCGAGGTACAACAAAACATGTGCCCTCCCGGTACTCACGCCTGGCACGACGATTTGTGCATGGTGTGTACCGTTTGCAGGGAGTGTACAGGGTACTCCATTAGCTGCCTGAGCTCGATGAGTTCCGACAGGAACCCTGGACAGTGAGTTGACCAAAACACAGATTATACATATTAGAAACTTTGTTTTTTCTTTATTGTTTTTCGTGGTTCCAATTTTCGGAATCGGGCACTAGTTAGGTGACTAGTTTGCGCACATAGCACGCCCACTTATGGCCTCTAAAATTGTGCACAGCGCCTGACCGGCACAGTTATTAGAGAGATATCGGAAAACCGAATAGCGTCATCCAGTATTTACGCGTACCTTATCATGGTTACGATATGCGCGAGTCAATTTTTACCGCAACACCCACTAATAACGTTACCGCCTGACGTAATTTGCGGATCAATTACACCAAGCGCTATTTCTAAATAACGTTTAAAAATTGCTTAAATGGGCATGTGCGGGTATTTGACAACCGGGGCCGACCGGCGAGATCTTTTATTTTAGGTTATGTTTGAATTGTTTTGAATTATTACTTTAGTTTTATTAGGTAATTTGATATTCAAAGTAGCTGGGATTAGTTTTAATTAAATAAATATGGCCCAAAATATGGATTCCACCTCTTCCAATACTAAAGAACCTATAAAGAGTCTTAGGTTTTATAGCAGATGACGACTTAGCCTTTCTCAGAGAATTTGTTGCTTGTTGACCTAAACCTACTGGCAGACGTTGAACAATAAAGCACTGGAAATAAGCACTTTAGCCCTTTAGTTTTAAAATACCAATAAACAAAACAATTTCAAAGTTTTAAATTCAAAGTTAGGTTAAGTTTAAATAGCGGACGCGAGGCGAACAGAATTCTTTCTTATCCGATAACTATAAATGTAAATGAAGAGAGTTAATACCACCTCACGTAAAGGAAATAACACCTGGCCTTATTAACGTCCATGCACGCTATTCGGTTTAGCGATATCTCTCTATTACGCCGTTTATTGTTATTTTACGCGAGTTTATTTTTGCGCACAGGAAATTTTACTCGTTTGCACATCGTCATAAAAAACAATTTTCGTACCACGAATTAGGGACAAGATTTTTATCTGTATACTTATAGGATACCTAATCTGTGACCAATTATCTATTATTTTTTTTATCTATTACTATGGAGTCACTATGGAGTAACTCATAGAATTTTATTTTATTTTTATTTATTTACGCAAACTCAAAAATTGGTTGTGTTGAGAGAAAGAATAATTATGTTTTATATATTAAATTGATCAGTCGGTCTCTTAATAAAGAAAAGTTATTTATTATTATATCAGTAAAATCATTAGATTGTTGAAGGGTTGTGAAAATATCTATTTAGAATGAAAGTAAGGCAAGTGACGATAACCGTTTATTTTTCATGGAATTTCTACTGTAAATTTTAATGCATTTCAAACATGAAAAATGTCTCTCAACCCAAGTACTTGTAAATGGTGTAGTAATAAACAAAGCAAACAATTTGAAAGCCTCTGGAAATATATTTTCGGGATTATTCCCCTTAAATTGTTTTATGCTCGAAATTATCATAATATCTATTATTAATACCAACAATTTATTCAGTCAATAACATTTTTTGTTTGTTAAATCACTTTTAAATGCGTTGGAAGTTGGAAATGTATCAATATAACAAGTTTGTTAAATCATATGTTAAATGCGTTGGAATTTTATTATAGGATTCTTTAAATTTCGGATCCGCAAGAGGTAAATAAAAATAATTGAGACATACGAGTACCTATCTGCAAACCTTATTTCTAAATGTATATAACAATGTTATCTAATATTTCATAAAATAAAATTCGCAAAGTTATTTGACTTAGCCGCTTTTATTAACATATCGAATTGAAATAGCACAGTGACTTTTCTGTAATATCTGTTGTATCGACTTCTTGCACCGAATAAAATAACGCGCTTTTTTATTTCGGATTCTTTTATTTCTGTGGCGTATTCTGAAATACAACCGGTTATATCATTTTTAATAATTTCGGACAAGCCCGAAAAATGTTTCCAATTTGCTTTAAACGTTTTTTGAATTTTCATATAAAAGTTTTAAATCCTACGTATAATGAATCATATGAAATGTCCCCTTAACGAAATGTGATATATTATTATATCTCCTTATGAAATATCCGGAATATCCCCTTAACATCTAAGCCTACCAAGCCTCCACGACTTCATGCGAAGGCGACCGGAGATTTCGCCTAAGCCCCGCCTTAACACGATACAACTCCGACTTACGTCGCGTCGCTACCGCACGATGAGTTAGACAGAGACAGAAGATTGCCGTACATCGTGTATCGACTCTGATAGTAGGCGATGTAGAAATCGCCGAACTATGGCGTTTGTTCCAACGACTAAGGAAGGAGCATATCAAAAATCTTAGGTACACCGCGATGGGCCTCAAATATGGCCGACTTAAATTCCGGTTTATCAGTCTCGCTCTAATTTGATTTAAAAAATGTAAAACTATGATGTAGGGTAGACGTGGGGTAGACTCAATAATTTGTTGTTTTATTTTACGTTGTGAATAAATGTTGGTAGTTATTAAAATTGTTATAAAAATATATAATTCTAATAAAAATAGATAAGTTATAATAAGTATTTATTAACACAAACATCCGATACGCTACTGAAGCAGGTAAGTCAAATTAACGTATCTAAATTCTTTGACATCTAATCTTTGACAAGTAATAAATAAAAGCTAAAATGCAAGAAAAATATATAATTTAGTTAATTTAAGTGAATTTCATAAATGATCGGTTTACTACACGTATGTATATTATATAGTCACTTACTAGCGAAAAGTTGTTCCATTATTTCTCTCAATTTTTGCCGAGATCTACCGCACGCTACACAACCAACTGTTTTAGAGTCTTTTTCGATAAACCGCGACAGTGTCACTGTTAATTTAAGTTCTGCCACAATTTCCATCTAGATTTACTACCTTTATACAACTATCAGTAGTAGAATAAATAATAAATAACATAAAATAAGCTCCGTAAAGACTGACAAATCCACAAAATTTCATATCAAATTCAAATGTGTCAAATGAATCGTCAAACAGAACTGTCAAGGATCCCCACCCTAGAGTGCTTTTTCCGCCCACCATGCATGAATACATGGATAGCATTATGCTCTAGTCTTCTTATTCAAAGGTTCCAACGGTCAAAATTATTTTATTAGGTTTCGAACGCAGCGGACGCCAGCAGTAGTGAATATTTTAATATACAAGACCACAAAATTAAAATAATATTGATTATTACAACACAATACCGTGTATTAACAGTATTTTTGTGTTTTGACAACATTAATAGTAAATAATGTAATGTAATAAACCGCTTAAATTTTGCCTAAAATTGTAGGGTAGGCGCCGCCTAACCTTGCTTACCCGCCACTGGTAATTCATACACAGGGTGTCCCAAATATATTTTAACGCATTTTACAGGGAATGTGGATGTGGAGAAGGGGACAGTGGCTGTGCTATTTGTGGATGTTGCAGAATATGCGCTAGGGAAGTTGTTGATAACTCAGAATTGGCAGATTTAGCAGGAATGATGAGGTAAATAAAACAACTGTTAACTATATCTTTATGTCTAAGTGTTTTTTGTTTATATTACTCTTTTTTTCAGGGATAACAAAATTGTGGTTCCTTCAAAACAGAGGTCCAAGCTTCAGGAACAAATTCAGATACGACTGGACGATCGCAAGAATAAAAGTAAAAAATCTTTGGCAGGATCGAGTAAGCCATCATCGAAAATTAAAACTTCTAGGTACGGAAATAATATTTTTTATGCTGCAAGACTGGAAAGTAGTACTTTGAAGGGTGAGCCAAACTTGGCCAGGTCTACGAAATGTTACTGTACTATTGAATACTGTTTTTCAGTAATTTCGTAACATATAATATTTCTTTTAACTAAGTTTACTTTAAAAAAGGTGTTTTTTTCATTTGATGAATAGGAAAAGTGCATATTAATATATTTTTCCGATTTATGATAAACGATAAGTACACTTTTAGTTTTTGCATTGATCATTTCTAATAATTGATGGTCTTATATATAGGTCATCGGTTCTCGCTACACCAACACACAAGGCTTCCAATGCGGTACGACAAAACAACTTGCTAGGTACTGTCAAGGAACAAACGAGTTCCGATATGGAAAGAGATACTGCAAGAGTAGCCTGCTTACCTCCAGCAAAACTGAGTTTATCTTCAGATAGTCCAGTAGTGAGTTTAGATTTTGTTTAATTTTGTATACCTACTTTATAACTGAGGTACTTAAAAATAATGTTTTATTTTAGATCCAGATAGCTTGTGGTTTACATCACAGCGTTTTGTTGCTACAGAACGGCCAAGTGCTGACTTTTGGTTCAAACATTTGTGGCCAGCTGGGTTGCGGCGATATTCTCGCTAAAAACAGCATTCAGTCAGTTAAACTGCCCACAGGAGCTATCCATATTGCTGCTGGTAGCAACCATTCAGTCGTTCTAACCAATAAGGGTGAAGTTTACACTTTCGGAAACCCAGAGGTAAGCATTAGACTGACTGTGGACATAAATTGTTCGAGTGAGTTATATGAAAACCGTTTTTTTTTATATAGAAAGGCCAGTTAGGTAGAGTACCTATCGAGGTGTCCCAAGAAAATTCTTCACAAGCTGGACAAAGCTCTAGTAGTACTAGGTACAGCAATCCAAGAACCCCATGGTATAGTATTCCTGGGCCTATATCCAATGTTGGACCACGGTAAATACAAAATACTTTTTTCTATGTTCTTCTAAGCTGTACAATTTTTTTTAGAATAAAAAAGTAACTGTAATTATCTATACAGGGTTGTTCACCACATACGACACGAAGTATTGTAGCTAAACGATGAGATTTTTACAAATTGTAAGTCTTGGGTTCGATGAAGGACTATTGGAGGTACAATTTAAAAATAATTTTACAAGATACAGAGTGTCCCAAATAAGTAAAAAATATCAAAGTTGTATTTTTTTAAATGGAACACCCTGTATATTATTGCATTTTTAGTTTCTATATTAAATAATTATTACCTTCAAACGGCAATAACTTGTTTAATTTAAATAGAACACCCTGTATATTTTATGAGAATCAGATGCACAATTTAATTGTCTATCAAATTGTATTATACCATTTTTTACCCATCTCTTCAAGTTTCCGTAGAAAATGCATTTTCTTGTAATTTAGAATTTATTTATCAATATACCCATGGAATATTGACATTTTATATTATTTTTAAAGATGTACCAAATTTTTAAAGAGTACAGATACTAATATTGTGGATATAATTCGTTTATTTCATTAAAAAAAAAAAAAAAACTGTTTAAATATTTGTTAAAAGGACCAATTAATATGATTCCAGTATTCAAACTACATTAACTGACTGCATTGATTAATAATTGTTCCAAATACTATAAAAACTGAATTTTGTATGGGTATTAGACAATGTGATAAAAGTAACACCTTAAAATGATATTCATTTTTTAATAAATGCTTATTTATAACAACAGAGACTTTAATTTTGATAACTTATTATTATATTGATTTCTGACTCAAATCCACATTTATTTAGAATAATTTATTAACGAATACAATTAAGTATGTAATTATATGATGTATGAATATATGATGTCAATATTCCATGGGTGTCAATAATAAAATGTCAATATTCTATAGGTATATTGATGAATGAGGTCTAAATTATAAGAAAATGCATTTTCTACGAAAACTTGAAGGGATAGGTAAAAATGGTATAATACAATTTGATAGACAATTTAATTGTGCATCTGATTCTCCTAAAATATAGAGGGCATTCCATTTAAATTAAACAAGTTATTGGCGTTTAAAGCTATAAACTATTTAAAATAAATTTTTAGACACTCTGTATAAGGTAGTATTATTTTTATTATTGCAACACAATAACTGATCAATAAATAAACTTCAGTAAATATTTAGTATTAAAAACTTTGATACCCTTGGAGAAATTTTTACTGCAATTTCACAAAATTGAAAATATTTCAAAAACGGTAAGGTTTAAGTGTAATAAACCTTAATCAAATTTACCTTTACTTTAATAGTAAAAACTAAAAATGTAATAATATACAGGGTGTTCCATTTAAAAAAATACAACTTTGATATTTTTTACTTATTTGGGACACTCTGTATCTTGTAAATTATTTTTAAATTGTACCTCTAATAGTCCTTCATCGAACCCAAAACTTGAAATTTGTAAAAATATAATCGTTTAGCTACAATACTCCGTGTCGTATGTGGTGAACAACCCTATATATTTATTTATTTTTTAGATGTGGTCGTAGAGCAACATGGGTAGGAGCTTCAGGCGATCAAACCTTCTTGAAGCTGGATGAAAGCCTCATCAATTCATTGAGCATAGCTAAGTCAACTGTTACAGCGAACAAGCACTCAATAGGTAATTTTTTCTCCAAGTTTAGAACAATAATTTTTAATAAACTCAAGTGAACTGAACTAAAATACAGAATTCTGAGTAATATTTTTATTTCAGTGCTATTCCCCAACCAGGAGAGCACAAGAAACTTCAGATGCCTGGTCATCAATAAAAAAGATGGCAACTGTAATTCATTCAAGGGTCAAGATCAGGCAGATTTTGCTCATAAAATGGTGTGCATGGATCCAATCTACAACATTTTATGGTCGTACAACCCGGCTAACAACCAGATTTCTTGCTACAACGTCATAGCTTCAGAGCTGCAAGTCTCAGAAAGCTCTGGACAGAGTAAAACATCAGCCAGTCAGAAACCTTGGACCGAGATCAAAGTTACAGTGCCAGAAAAAAATTCTTCGTCTGATAGTTCCAGAAATATTAACAGTATACTTTCATCAGAGTTAGCGTTGCCTGTTTCAACCAACTGCCATGTTACAAGGTACAAAAGTGACTATAATGAGACTGGTATTTTGTAATAAATATTTTTTTTTAGGTTTCAAGCGGCTATTAACTTGTTATGTTGTCTGGATACTTTGACAGCGGCTCACGATCTTCAACTCACAGCTGTCAAAGAGGAGATCGATGAGAGACAGGTTGTTTCGGGAAAACAATACTCCAAAGAAGATTACCAAGCTGTGAATAGGTATTTACCAATAAATTATATACTTTTATGATAAAAAATGTTTTTTACCTTTTTTATTCTAGATTTGAGAGTCACGGAGGTGGGTGGGGATATTCTGGACACAGTATTGAAGCAATCCGCTTCATGGCAGACACTGACATTCTTCTGGGAGGTTTTGGATTGTTCGGAGGCCGTGGAGAGTACACTGCCAAACTTAAACTCCTGGATATCGGTCCAAATGGTGGAGAACAGGAAGTAGACGGTGAATTACTGGCTGAAACTGAAGAAGTACCGTACGAATGTGGACCTAGACAAAAATTTGCAATGCTATTTGATGAGCCAGTGCAGTTACAGGCAAGTATTAACTGAAAACTAGTAGTGGGAACTATCGAATGAATACTGTCGAAACATTCGATAGTTGCAATTCATTCGAATAATTCGATAGTTAGTAAGAAAACATTCGTTGAAAACTATTCGAATAAAAATTATCGAATAGATCCGTCATCTGCCTTGAAATATTGTATTCTAGTAATTCGGCAGCAAAAACCATTCATTTATAAAATTCATTCATCTATGAAATTCATTTATTCGTCAGGATCGATTATAATAAAATATTAACTGAATTTTAGTTGTCGCCCGGCGACGTAGGTTTCTTTCCGAGAAACCCGACAGCGGTCGGTGGCAATGCTATGAAAGAAGCCGGCATCTTTGATTTTATGCGGAGTCTGATAAAAATAAGGACACATTCTTTTTTTATTGAGGTGCTAGTATTTACACAGAAAATACATTATGAAGGGCGCTGTTGCCATATTTTGGTATTAGTTGGTATTAGCAAAGAATATTATTCTTTAGCATTAGTTAGTTAGGGATAGTATGTCTATATATTCTGCATTCTTTTTTATTAATACTCTGTTGTTACACTGCAATAATACTTGTTATTTTGGGTGTAGGAAAATGATTTTTAATGTTTTTAAGCAAAGACTGGTTTAATAAATAATAATAACAGTAATAATTTGTTATACCTATTAACAACAAAATTTAAAATCATTTAATATAAATATTTTTTTAAGTAGTAGCAAAATATAAACAACAAATTAGATGTCAAAATTATATATATTAGATCCTATTTAAAAATAATATAGTCTCTAAATTATTTGTGTGTGGCAACGTTGGTTTATTAAATAATAATAATTACAGAACTAATTTGTTATATTAACAACAAATTTTAAAATCATGAAATATAAACATTTATTAATTTTCTAAGCATGCAGTGTAATGGAAGGAAAATATAAAAAAAATTAGAAATCAAAATTATTTATATTAGGTGCTTTATATTACTATTTAAAAATTATATTTACTTTTACTGGCATTTACTTTAAAAAATAAATGAAATATTTCTTCGCAAAAACTACATGTAAGAGAATTAGCATAAACAAAATACAAACATCGTTAACTTTTTTTTTAAATTGGCACGTGTAAAACTTTCATTTTAATTTTCTCACCCCATAGTTTGAGTTCGATAACCATTTACTTAACCACATTACTTTAATATGATTATTAAGTTCAACTAATTCATATTATTAAAACATCTAAAATACAAATATGTACTTTTAAAATTAATTTAAGTTCATCTCATCTCTCTTAAAAATTGCTACTTCTCAAAATTTCCCATTAAAAAATAGACCATATACCATATAAAATTAAATAATTGAAAGATCGGACTACGGAAAACCACACAACTTTTCGGAAAAATTTTGACCACCTGCACATGCACACAATCGTCAATAAATAAAATTAAAAAATAACTACTATTTTAGTATTTTAACTATTTTAGTAAACGCAAAAATAGCACAGTATTTATACGGTGAAGTTATAAAAATTTGGAAGAACTAATAATGCCACTGACGCATGTCAAAAGCTGACGACATTTTACTTTTGTCAATTATGACATTTCGAGTTGATTTTTGCAAGAAGAGGAAGAACTGTCACTTGTTTTATTATTTTCCTTTTCTATTTCACGAAAGAAAAAAGAGTTACCTATCTGATTTGTTCAGGCACTCAATTTAAAGAATATCAGTAACTTTTTTGATAGAGGGATTTTATATTTACCATGTTGGTAAAAAATAACGGTCAAAATTCAAAGTTATTCATTTTATAGACTATATTAACTGAAAACACCACATTTAAATCATTTAAAGTCTTCTAAATCTTCTGATAATTCTTCTACTAGGATCTTTACACCTTCTTATTCATCTAGGCACATCGTTGGTACGTGGCTTGGTGCAGAATCAGCGGCCCAAGCAGCGATTGTGGTTCTTCAGGACAAACAATGGTCACGACCGAAGACCAAGTACTCTTCTACTTCAAATCTTCCAAAAAATCAAACAATGGTACTGACGTGAATGCCGGTCAAATTCCACAATTACTTTACAAAATAGTTTCACCAGAAAACCAGGCACCCACCAGACAGGTTTCTACCTGCTTTTATCAAGATTTTCTGAAATATTTTAGGTTAATTTTGATTTCAGGTGGATATAGTGGAGCCAATCCATATTTTATCTAAGGAGTTTTCCAGAACTGTCACTAAAGAATGTTTCCAGAGCCTTCTCTCATTGTTACAATGGTCCTGGAACACTTTTAAATGGGGTATCATGGAGGGACAGTCTATAAAAAACTTGTACACTAACTTGGAGCTGGAAAGATTGGTTTATATTAGCACAGCAAGTCTGAGACTGATCTGTACCTATACCAACGAAATTTATCCAAGACAAGTTAACAGAAAAGCACCCCTTGAGAGTGTCCATCTTGCTGAATGCGTTGGAGACGTCAGATCATTACTGAAGCAGATTTTGTCTGATAATATCCCACTTCTGATGCAAAATAAGAAATCAAGCAAGTCCAAGGTGTACACAGTGGTGTTGATGAATAACATACTTCAAGAATGTCACAATACCTTCGTTAGTTGTTTCCATGCCTTCTATCCTACTGCATATTTGAAATGGGTTTGTCTTTGTGAACTACTGGCAGAAACGTGCGAGGATTATAACCCTCACAGTCAGTCTAATACTCACATGCTTCTGAGTGCGGTACTCTGCGCACTGTGTGCTCCTTCAGTGAGGCTTAGAAGCACTTTCCCATTGTTGAACACTAACCAGAGTGCAGAAAATTCATTACACAGGGTATTGAGTCCTTCGGATAACACAGGCTACCCCATGATGAACGTATCTGATAGTCACAGTTATCCTATTTTGGTTGAACATATGAGTTACAAAAGTCAGGTAATGGTTGAACTAGCCTTTTCTATCATTTTTTATTTTGTTGGTACTTTTTCTAGATGGAATCTATTTATCATGGCTTATCATGGACATGGTGCGATGTATTGGAACGCCTGATCAATTTGATTTCTGATCCAATCCTGCGTATTTTACAAAAACACTCTATGGTATCGTTACCTGAGTTATCCAAGTACTGTTGTCATCTATTAGCAAGAGTACTGGCCGAATTAGTACACCAATGCAGTTCTTCAGATGTAAGTACTCTAAACTCCAAAAATTTTATTAGAAAGTGAGAAAGTAAAAAATACATTTTATATAGGAGGATATTCAGAGTGTGTGCGGTAGGATATTGCACATGACGCCATCTAGGTTCACCAGAACGAACCAATCCAGAACTTGGAATACTGGGAATGGATCTCCTGATGCTATATGCTTTCAGGTACGTTTTTTTTAGAAATAGAGGTGCTGGGGTAAAAAACACTTTTAATTTAATTTTAGGTGGATAGAATTGGTGTTTCTATTGTTGGTGTTGGGATATATGGTGGTATAGGTCATTATGAGTACGAGTTAGAGTTATTAGAAGATGTGAGTAAAATACTTAATAAAAATACTATGCAGGGGGTATTCTATCCAGAAAAATTTGTTGGTCACTGGTGTCTCTAATTTAGGTTTTTTTATTTTTTAAAATTTGTTTGGAAATTTTTTTTATTGATTTTAGACTAGTCTCTGTAATGGTTTGGAGAACCACGCTGCACACAGATGGAACAGCCTCGAAATCACCAGAGGTTCTTTTGGTCCAGAAGATTTTGCTCCAGATATTATTGAAGTCAAGTTTGATAGACCTGTACCTGTCAAGGTACGGTAAAAATAATTTTTGAAGGATTTTTTAAAGAATTTTTTTGTAAAATAGGAAAATGTCAAGTACGCAGTGCGACTCAGAAATCACGGAGGTCGTACCAACAACGGAGACGGAGGTTTAAATTCGGTAAAAGGCTCTGATAACACTACCTTTACTTTTTCAACTTGCTCGTTAAGCTTTAACGGTACTACTTTGACAAGAGGACAGATTCCAGTTATTCTGTATTACAGGTATTAATATATATACATTTTTCTGGGTCTTTTTTGTTAATTTTTATTATTTTTGAAGCAATCCAGTGGAATGTGGCAAAACATCGACTTCAAAACTGGAACATCAAGCTAGAAAAACAGCTCTAACAATGACAAGCGCTATAGTTCAAAACGCAGCAAAACTTATGATGTTAGCTAGGGAAAAAGTTGATGAGCTACCCTCTTCTAGCATCCTCAGCGATTCTTGCATTGTCAAAACATTACTGCCTTTGGTGTTAGCTCATATAAGCCCTCTGGCGTCCAGTGATCCCAAGGTAAATCATGAAAAAATACAAATCTATACTAATATATAAAATCCTTAAGTGACTGACTCACTGATTAATCACGATCCTGCTCAAACCACTCAACGTAAGAAGCTCTATTTTGGCATACAGGTTCATTCTAGAGTGTAGAGGTTCGATAAGAAGGGATTCTTCGAAATTCCAGTTTCAAGGGGACGAAACCACCCGTCAAATATTACAATATTTTTTTTAAAAAACGATCAAGTTTCATGTTATCATAGATAACATGAAAAAGAATAGATCAGTTTGTATGTTACATGTATGTTGATGGAAATTCTTGCTTTGCTTTATCATCACCATTACAAATGATTAATTCGACGCGAACGAAGTCGCGGGTACACGCCAGTATTTTAATAATAATAATTTTTTTCTTCAGAGTGCTGTACAAGTATTGGGTTTGATACAAGAACTACTTCCCCATGTGGCTGCTTTGAACCTGTTGGGTTCTTCCAGTCCTGCTGTCAGCAGTACTAGCAAGAGTCTGGTTGGTTCAAATGCTTCAAATCAGGAGGGTGGCGATAATAAGATCACTACCACTAGTAATCACTGTACGTGGGTTGAAAGTGATCACCCTTACAAGCCTGCCACTGTATCGAACTATAGGTAGGTTTAATGAAGGAATTGTTTACTCAACTTATATTGAATACTGAATCTTACAGAGTGGTATTTCCTGATTGCGTTAAATGGATGTCATTGGAGTTTGATCCAATCTGTGCCACGGCACAGCCAGAAGACTCCCTCCAGCTATACATACCAGCAACTGATTACATTCCTAGTACTAAAACAACCAGCGTTAACCTCAATTTGATGGAGGACATTGACGCACCTCCATTACCCTACTGGCCAGTCCTCCACAAATTCAGCGGAAGGTACATATATAAAGACTGTTCAGCCATCGTTCAACGTTACGTTATTTTTTTTTATTTTTATTTATTTTTATTTATTTTTATTTATTTTTATTTATTTTTATTTATTTTTATTTATTTTTATTTATTTTTTATTTTTATTTTTTTTTCTTCCTGAGAATTGTCTTATGGATAGAGGTTACTTTGTTGTGTAATCATTATTATTTGTTAAATATGAGTTTTAGGGTGTATATGAGATCAGTTAATATTGTTCGGCATTTATTCATTTTTTCTTGAACTCTTCATCAGTTATGATCCCTTTAGTTCCAATCCTTTGGACTGTTGAAATTAGTGATGCGAAAATTATAAGAAAATGCATTTTCTACGAAAACCTGAAGAGATAGGTAAAAAATGGTATAATAAAATTTGATAGACAATTAAATTGTGCATATGATTCACGTAAGACATACAGGGTGTTCCATTTAAATTAAACAAATTATTGCCGTTTAAAGCTAGTAATTATTTAATATAAATTTTTGGACAATCTGTATCAGGTAGTAAAATTTCTATTATTGCAACACAATATCTGATCAATAAATAATATTCAGTAAATATTTAGTATTAAAAACTTTTATACCCTTGGAGAAATGAGGTCTTAAAATTTTTACTGCAATTTCATAAAATTAAAAATAATTCAAAAACGGTAAGGTTTAAGTATGATAAACCTTAATTAAATTTACCTTTATTTCAATCGTAGAATCCAAAAATAGAATAATATACAGGGTGTTCCATTTAAAAAAATAAAACTATAATATTTTTTACTTATTTGGGACACCCTGTATCATGTAAATATATTTTTAAATTGTAGCTCTAATAGTCCTTCAACGAACCCAAAACTTATAATTTGCAAAAATATAATCGTTTAGCTACAATACTCCGTGTCGTATGTGGTGAACAACCCTGTATATTTTTCCTCTTTTAGTTTGCAGTGGCCGTCAAACGCGGTCATTCTTCCAGGCAATGAGGTGGTGTTCTCGTTAGAAACGGCCTCAGATTATCTGAAAGACGATAGAGCTAGTTCATACGGCTTCAAATGTTTGGTGGTTGGGTACGAATGGCCTCCAGACTCTGCCTGCTATACTGGATTGAAGCATCTTGAAGCAGAACTGGCATTTTTGGGCGGCATGTGTTCAGCGAGCTTGATGAAAAAGGATCTGATGCTACCTGTAGTGGGAGGTAATTGTATTATTAATATTCTTACTTGACTTTATTTTTTTATTTATTTTTTATTTTTATTTTCTTTTCTTCACTTCATTTTTTCTTTCTAGATGAAGCAGACGTTGATATGGAGATGGCTGAAAACGTAGCCACACAAATATTTGGAGAACACAGCTCGCTGCTGTCCAAAGGATTAGCTCTAACGTCACCTCCTAGTGTGACACAGGCTTTAGATGGCATGCTCCCATACAGGTAGGGATATGATACACCGTTTATTATTTCTTAATTTATTTTAAACACGATTATGACCGTTATTTTCTCAGATATAGCGAATTTTTTTATTTTTAGGGAGAAATTTAGGTTTTTCATATACCGGGTGCGTCTCGAAAGTGGCTCATACGAGATTTAGTATGTTAGTATATGACATAAATTAGGATTGATTGACGTATTCAATTATTTTCGATCACTACCTGTTTCGCCGGAAATGACTACAATTTTTGATTTTTAAATGGTATCCTCGGTATTTTTTACTTTATTCGATAGAAAATGACACTGAATAGAATGACATATCATATAAAAAATCAAAAGTTTTTGTCATTTCCGGTGAAACAGGAAGTGACCGAAAACAAATGAATACGTCAATTAATCCTAATTTATGTCACATACTACCATACCGAATCTCATTTTTTTTTCTGAAAAAATAAAAAAGTTATAACGGCGAACCACTTTTGAGACGCACCCGGTATACAAAGACATTTTTTTGGTTAAAATAAGGAAAAATTTAATAAAACAAACATGCATATATTTGAATTTAATATTTTTTATACATTTTCTTACGTAATTTCATAAATATAGTATCTAGTTGATTAAACTAATAGCTAATTAATCTAATGATCACAGAAAACAAATTAGGACGATGGTACCATGGGATAAAATGGTGAACATGCTACAAAATACGATTAAAACACTACACTATTAAAAATACTGAAAAGGCAGAAGAATTTAGTGATAAATTAGCCAAAAAAGGGATTTAAATTTTAAAAAATTTAGTTGCCTTTGTTATACAATGCAAAAAGTTGAATTTTTAATTATTAAATTTCGTAAAACAATTCTATAACTATAATTATAAATAAAATTTTTTATTTATAACTAATAATTTAAAAATAACTTGAATTTATGCTTAAAACATTCAAGTGAATAAAAAAATGCTTGTGAAAAGGTCTGATATATTCTACTGACTAAAGAGATCCAATGGTATGATTTAAATGTAGTCTAATTAAAAACATTTTTTTATAAATCCGTTGTGAGCAAATCGGCCCGTTCTACTACAACATGCAGTTCGGTCTCTTTGTAAGTTCTACCGTCAGGCACTATCAAACTCATCGGAGCTTTACCGTTCTTTTCACACCCGTACTTCTGGCTGAGGTACACCAAACGATAGTACATATAAAACGACACCGCCACGATAGCCATCACTAAAATCACTACACAAATCGATATAATCATCGTGTAATACCCCGTGAATATCGAGCAACTCCCTACTTTATACTCCCTAACCGAAACGTACTGGTTTTCACTGTCCAGACAAAATATCTCGTTGTAAAAACTGGCATCCCTTAAATTATTCACTATATCGTTACAGTCACATGTTTGGTTCAAGTTCAGGTTCACCACTCTAGCTTGAAAACCTGGCTGAACCTTCAGCGATCGTGTTTCTAGAGTTGTGAAGGTGTTTGATTCAAAAGTGATCATTCTGCCTGTTCCGGAAGTCTGGATTCCGTTGAAGGCACCGCCCTGGACGGTTTTGAAGACGTTGTTTTTGAAGATGGCGTCTCCATTGGTGTTTATCCAGAAAGCTTCTCCTTCTAGCTGTTCGATTTGGGTGTTGGACACGGTGAATAAGCTGGGGTTGTGGATGATAAATGTGCTAGGGCGTACAGTTTCGAATTTTGAGTCTTTTATAGTTAAAGTCCTGTAAACTGTGATGTCTGAGAATGTTCTGCTTGGTAGGTACCCGGCGTTTACACTATCCAACGTTAAAAATTCAGTTCCGAACTTTTTGAAAGCTTGAGGAAGTACGTTTTTGAGTACTACATCTCGGAATATCAAATTCTCCATTTGGAGAAGATTACTGAAGGCGAAAGCATCGATTTTATCAACTTCAACACTGTCAAACAAGATTTCGTTGATTCTCCCGCTAAATGCTTGCGATCCAATGCTCAAACCGCGTGTGTTTTTGATGGAGACCCTGAGACTGGGTACTCCAACGTCGAAACGTTCCTCCTGGTTGGGATTGGCGTCGCGGTAGCCGTACCAGGTGAGGCTGTTCGGTTCCAAGGTGAGTGAGGCGCAGTTCTTGATCCTCACGTGGCGTAGATTGTTGAGTGACGAGATTGAGTCGGTGCCGAAACGGACTTTCGGGCAGTTGTTGAGTTCGATGAGTCCTATGTCGGGGCTAGTGATTGAGCCTCGTTGAATGTACATCTGGAATAGTATAATTCAATTAAGAATAAAAATCTGGTATTAATGACCCGTTTAATGAATTAATGTCATGAAAGCGGCGACTTAGAGACCGTCGAAGGATAAACAGCTGCTCCATATAGAAGCCGTTAGCCTTTTCATCTCATTTCACTAATTAAAATCGTTAAGAATTGAAGCTAATTAAGCAGATTTGTCAGTATCGAAGGTAGTACTCAATAGTAGGGGAGCCGGAGCGACGATTTTGCGATTTACTCACGAGCAGCAGAATAACATAAGGTGAGGAATATTGCACACTCTTAAGTACCTCTACTATACCTACATGCATTTTTTATATACAGGTTGTTCTTTAATGACATGCTAATATATAAGGAGGGGATTCTTAGACCAATTCTAAGAAAAAAACTTCATATGATCAACTTTTTAGATACAGGGTGGTAAATAAAAAATATCACAGAGTAGATTTTGATAACGCCAAAATTAAAGTAAAATAAAAGAAGCTTTTTTAATTCAATCTAATAAAAATAAATGTATTGCTCATGCATCTGTAGATGTTAGTAATGTATGGTAGAGGTGGGAATTCTAGTTCCTTGTTGTCAGATTAACAATTTTATTATGCATTGTGAGACTTTTTCAATACGTGAGAGAAAAAGAGTACAATCAGTCATCTTAAGCCCCCTTACTACAAGTAGTATACATCAGAAAAGTGTATCAAAAAAGTGAAAATTTTACGTTAAATCGGTAAAATTAAAATACATCACTCGTTCTGCACATTTTGTAAGATGTTTTTTCGAGATTTTTTTGAGTAAAATGCAAAAAAAACTTACTTCTTCAGCTTCATTGGTACAATTACATATCAAACTGACAGAACTGCCTCCCAGCCATCTGCAGCCGAAGTACCAGGCCTGGGTGAAGTCTTCGTACGCCCCATGGGTACCCACGATCAGTAGTACCAAAAAGACCAGTTGAAACGGGTTTAAAATGAAGTATTCAGTAGGTTTCATCATAACCAAGCGTCTACATTGTACCTTCCTTTGTTATTAGTGAAAATCTGAAACAAAACACATTTTTGGTACACAGTTGACGATGAAAAATTACAGAAATTGGTTTCAGCGATAACACAATGTAATTTTCAATAAAAATTCCGATTTAATGACTTAACAAAACGCACTTAAAGCTATCACGATCTAAATATTTAGGGTCTATTTGGATTTGATCCTTTTTTTTATTTATTTACGTCATCAACATACAGTTTTATTGTCTTTTTAGTATATACATTGACATTCTTAGGTCATTACTTTTATTTAACAGATTTTTACGAGCTTTAAACATTAAAAACAGTTATATTAATTGTAATTCAGTACTACTTAAGTGATTTTACAATAAAAAGAAGTACATACTTAACATTAATATATGAAAGAAAAAAATATATATTACCTTTTATATGTTACAAACGCACTAATACATTCATATGTCATTTTATTGATAAGTTTGATCAGGAAATACTATGTGTCATCAAAGATAAGATATGAAATAGGCTTTAATGTGAAATACTTTTCCACACAATAATTTATATGCCTAGACGTTATACAGATAGATAATTTAATTTTAACAGAAATATATAAAATGCTTTGGAAGAGTCATAGTGAATTTGTTTATGTACAAATATCTCTCTGACTCTAAAATATAATTTTATCGTATAAAATAAATAACTATTGATATTACTAACGATATTTTTTATTTTTTACCCAACTTTTTGGAACACCCTGTATGATTTTTTAAAAAATTTCAAAATATGTAAAAAACAAAATAAATTATGCTTGTCCAAGCGTTTTCCCGAAAGACTAACCGTTTTTTAAATAACAAATATTATAGTATTCGAGGGGAGTTTTCACCCTCTTGGAATTTGAGATTCGAGAAACCGCTCCTTATCGAACCTCTACACCCTAAAGTCAATCTGTTTTCCACAAATCAGCTTTTTATGTCAAGAGCTTTAAGCAGGATCGTGATTAATCAATGACCAGATTTTTCGAAACACCCTGTATACATTTTTAAAAAATCTTAAAATATGTAAAAAACGAAATAAAATATACGTGTTTAAACGTTTTTTCGGAAACTTGACCGTTTTTTAAATAAAAAATATTGTAATATTTGAGGGGTGGTTTCACCCTTTTCGAACTGGAATTTCGAAAAATCCCTTCTTATCGAACCTCTACACCCTAGAATCAACCTGTATGCCAAAATTGAACTTCTTACGTTGAGTGGTTTGAGCAGGATCGTGATTAATCAGTATGTCGGTCACTTAAGGATTTTATCTATTAGTATAGATTTATAACTCTACATAAGAAAAACAACATAGACATTCGTTTAGTTAGATTTATAATCCCAAAAAAAAACATTTTAAAGAAAAAAAAAATCTTAATACGATAATGATATACTAGACCAAGGTAAACCTTTAAAGATTAATTCTTTATGCTAATAATAAACAAGAATTGTTAAGGTTTCTTTCAAGCTGCTTCGAAAGACCAGCGTGCAACTATAGTAAAGCAGTTATTGCCGATGTTTGCTAAGTAAAAGAACGATAATAATAATCATAAAGAGAGGCTGTAAAACGTAACCCTAGGCAATAAAATTCCTGAAACAATAAGAAAACGTTCGAAGCACGAACGAATTAAAATTTTTGTAAGAGTCAAAACGTTGGTAGGTACAGGGTGGGTCAAATTCGAAGCTTTTAAATGGAAACACCCTTTTCTATAGGAGATAGACCAAAACTAATATAGGTGTCTGTAGTTCAATTTTTGTCAAAAACATGATGGTGAAAACCGCATATCGATATCTGTTACCGTTTCGGAGTTACGAGGTGTTTTTAAAAAATATGCGTTTTTAACAAATCGCTGTAACTATTTTGCTATGGAAAATTTTGTATTTTTATGGAAAAATTTCCAAAGCACCTTTTTACGTAGAATTTAATGGTTTAAGTATACTTTTTTTAAAATTAATAATTTAAGAATTATCAACAGAAAATTTGATTTTTTATATGACACACTCTGTATATTTTTAATTTATTGAAAAGAATTTAAAATTACGTTTCCAAAAATATAACACACTTGATATTTTGCTCGATTCCTCTTCGAGATATAGAGTATATAAAAATTCGCCCGGCTTTAAATAAGTAGGCTTTGAACGGCACCGGCTGTAATGCAAAAAAAATCTAGCTGTGAGCATCAATTAAAACGAAAATAATATTTGCTATGAGAGACGCAGAATTCTATAACAATTTATAACATTTTAAAACAATTTTAACCAACATCAACACATTTAAACTATATCTAATAACAATAAAACTAAATAGCAAACCAAGACATGAGATTTTGCTACAGGTGTTTGACTTATCGACAGTCTTCTGTTATGGACAGACCGGGCAGTTTTTGAACATTTCTCGCGGTATTCATTAACTCAGTGGGGGTGAAAGATACCCTCTCATAACTGCTAAGTATTTCTAATTCTTGTCTAGATTATACGCAAGAATAATTAACCTTTATTCTCCCGCAAATATATCCATAGGATTAGATCCATGGGCACTATGTCAGGGGGCCTCGACGGCCAACGGCTGGGATCTTGGTTAGCTCTTCAATTATTCTTGAAATTGGCTGCAAAAATTTGCTGATAACTTCAGCGTTCAGAGGCGGTGCGTCGCCTTGCTGGAAAAATATGTTTTCGAGTTCCATTAAGGGCATATCATCAATAACGGGTCCAAAGCCTACTAGTTAAAAGTGGCGAACTTTTAAAAATTCTGTATTTCGAAGGGGATTATAACAAAATATCAAGTGTGCTATATTTTTGGAAAGGTAATTTTAAATTCTTTTCAGTTAATTAAAAATATAGGGGGTGTCCCAAATAAAAAATAAATTTTTCTGTTGATAACTCTTAAATTATTAATTTGAAAAAAATTATACTTAAACCATTAAATTCTACGTAAAAAGGTGCTTTGGAAATGTTTTCATAGAAATACAAAATTTTCCATATCAAAAATGTTACAGCGATTTGTTAAAAATGCACATTTTTGAAAAACACCCCGTAACTCCGAAACGGTAACAGATATTGATGTACGGTTTTCACCATCATGTTTCTGATGAAAATTGAGCTCCAGACACCGATATTAGTTTTCGTCTATCTCTTATAGGAAAGGGTGTTTCCACTAAAAGCGTTGAATTTGACCTACCCTGTACATTTTTATATCTTGTATTAGACATTTTCTCGTCTAAGGAAAATTAAAAACTTTTTTGAAATCCAAACAAGGCAAAAAAATAATAGCAACTATATTTGTTGCCCTGACCTGACGTCATATTATCGATTTATGTTAGATACAAGATTCCTACAGAACGTGTCTATGTGTGACATGATCTAAGCTCCGAACATAAAGTAATATCGCAATATCTCTATTTTTTCACAGTTTCATTCTTTTTAAAGCTGAGAGAGGTTCAAAGATAGAATGAGAAATTTGCATATATTTTACGGTCTCATATCTGCAATTCTAATTCTAGATCGGCGTGATATCGAATCCATGCAGTTGTTACAGCGATTATACTTCAATAATATACCTATACCATAGATCTTAGAGAGAATGCTCATCTATTTTTACTTGTTTTTCTGATATTCTTTCAAAATCATATCCGCCGTAAATATAAAAGGCTTTATTATTTTTTTTTTATTTAGGCAGATTTATCCAGATTTTTATAACCTTAGCTACAAAAGTATATAGACACCTGAAGAATACTGATTAAATAATCCTGAAAAAATCACTACTCAAACTATTCTCGCGTTCTGAGCTGTCAAACGATCGGTACTTGTGATTTGTACGGCGGTACTACCTTGGTACTACTCGCAAATTATAGAACAGCCTACGTGAAGATAAACGGGAACGAATTAGGTCGAAACCGGTCAAATGGTTTTGGAAAAAAATGGTTTTTAATGCATTTTCTCATGGATAAAATTAGAAAACTGGTTATACCCTAGTTCCACATATTTCTGTCTTAAACAAATAGATTATACGGGGTTTTTTAAAAAATGCAGGGCCCAATTTCAGAGTATGATTTCCCATCAAAAATTATGGAAAAATTTTCCTATGAATAAATCGTTTTTATGTAATAATCTTCAATACCCTGTAGCCAACTTTTTTGAAATTTGTCAGTGATATTCCTTTACATCCTGTATGAGGATGTTAAAACTTTGACATCCCTTGAAATTCGTAGTAGAGAAGATACGTTTTTCGAACTACTATATTCCGAAAAATGTCAATCAAATAGCACAGAAAATTCCTTTCAGCGTGTCATAACAATTTACTGCGCTTTTATTGGTAGGCAGTCACGTAGAATAAAATCTTTATTTATTTTTCTTTGCGGCTCTGTGAACGATTATGAACTATTTTTATCCTCGGTAATAATTCATTACAGATGGACTTACTAAATTTAGAAATTATTGACAACGGTTATTTCCAACATTCACGTTTGAATGTTTTAATTTACTATAAAGCTTCGCCTACACATACAATTTCATCTATTCAGTCAAAACGTATCAAGTAAAGCATTGTGTGTATAGTATCAGCAAGTAAAATACCATATTACAACGTATAATACTGATGCTTCCAAAACCAAGGTTTGGTTATTTTTACACCATTTCAATGACACCCTGTATATTATCGAATATAATAAGAGCGAATTTCAGACCATATCAGAATCACAATCTGAATACAAATAGGCAGGAATTTTTATATATGGAGTAAATATGCTAAAAAATGTCACAAGTTATAGTACCTCAAGGACTTTTAGATCAAAATCCGATCTGTATGATTTAAATAAATTCTTTTTGCTGTTCTATTTTGATCCAATTGAAACCGAATACACTGTTCTAATAAATAACGTCTTAATTGACGTTTGAAATGACATAACAGTGGCTTAATATCGACGTTTGCCGATTTAATGTATTCAAACAGCTTAGGTTCGTTTGAACATTTTTTTTTCTATTGGTCGATGATGGCTGGGAATGTTATTTTTAATGCGTCACGTCGTTGAGCAGGAATGACATTATTTGTACGGTAAATACTGCAAACGTTATCGAATGATTCTCTTAGTAAGATTCCAGCTATTTTATGCAATTTAAACCAAGTTGTTAAGGCGAATTCGTATTGCAAAATGTGAATTACAGATCTAGCAAAAATAAAGTAATTATTAAAAAAAAAATCTACTGGAAAAAACGGTGTCACAGTAATGGTAGAAAATTCCATCGCGTGCTTGTATGTTTATGGCGTTTTTCCTCTTTTTTCCTTGTTAATTTTATCGATACCGGTATCGATCAGTCTTTCCCTTAGGCCTTTTAGTAGTTCGTTGTACCCTACATGGATATCTAGAATTAGAATTAGAAAAGCTGCCTGCTTTCGTGCTTTCTCGCCTAAACACTTCTGCCAGACCTACAGACGACTGAAATAGTTTTAAAATGGATATACGTTCACACATTCCAAAGCTAATCAATGCCTTTACAGAGCAATATTTACACATGTTACGAACAAAAACAACATTTTTAATCAATCATTTTCGTTTTTGTGTTCTTTGAAATTTTTTAAAGTTAATGAAATATTTTTTTCTATTCAAAAATTATATTTTCG